GTGCTGAGCAAACCATCGGTATACCTGAAATCTATGAGAACAAACCAGTGATGATGCGTGCATACCAGGCTGCGAGAAGCGTGGCCAACAAAAAGACCCCAGATGACGCCGAAGACGGCGAAGATGCCAAGGATGTAGGCGAACATTACATTGAACGGTCCGAGTTCCGTTTGCTGCTCGTCTACTTGCGAAAGTACCTGGAAGTTTGGGAAATGTTTGACAGCATCGATACAGGAGACGATCGGCGCATCAACTTGGAAGAGTTTGAATCCGCTATCCCTCTCTTCAATAGTTGGGGCATTGAAATTGACAATGCCGAAGCAAGCTTTGCTGAAATCGATGCCAATGAAGGAGGACAGATCCTTTTTGATGAGTTCTCTCGTTGGGCAATCCAAAAGGGACTTGATTTGGAGGAGGATGGTGACGAGTAAAGATTAATGTTGTATAATAAATGATAAACTTGAATGACCGTGTATTTGAAAAAAGGGCAATAATGATCTCGAATCAAATAATTTTATGTTGAACGAATGAATCAATCTGGGGCTCTGATAATTGGACGCGGTCTTTTTTATATAGATTGATTCATACAAAAGAGCAGCAATTCGAAATGGTATTTACGGACAACTATATTACAGTCCTCATAAAATAAGCCGGTAAATGCATCACCGGTCCATCATGAATCTCGCAAGATGATACCAGTTTGCCTTGCCAATCGGAAGAACAATGGGCGTCAGACATTTCCAACCTCATCATCCGCTAGAGGGTTTCACTCATAAAGTGCAATATCGCTAGAACCGACACCTCCAGCATAACAGAAAAGAACCAAAAAGAACCCCTTCCGATTCTTCCGCCCTCCGGAGTCGTTTGCCCGCAGGTGATTGATCATCTCATCATATGGCACCTTATCTAGGGATGATAGCCAAGGATGCTTTGTTCTTGGCCGACGAGGATTGGTGATCTCCCGAATAGGCGTGATCTTGAAGTTACTAGTGGAATCATCACTCAGAGCTGGTATGATCCCATTGTTGTTAGGCATGAAGTCAAGCTCTATCGCCATGTTGTGTGTTTTCAAGCCTTTGCGTTGGCACTCTTCGATCATCTTCGAGTGAATGCGTTCACCGTGTTTGCCGAAAAACTTAACCACCATCTCTCGTGCGATTTCTTCTTTCTTCTTATTCTTTTCTGAGAGCGGCTTACAGCTTTTCTTGTGCTTCTTCCAATCAGCTATGAAAAACAATGGATTGGTGACAAAAGGGAAAAGACAAAACGAGAAAAAGCTGCATTCCTTCGTGCAATAGTAGTAGCTCTTGCACCGTCCACAAGTCATGAGCGGCACCTCCGTCATTTTGCCACAGTGACCACACCGGCTTAATTGGTACTGTTCGGCGAATACATCCGAACCAGCGGGTTCAATCGATTGCAAGGATAGGACAAGACTCTGAAGCTGCTTGGTCACTTTGACTGGTATCTTTCCATGTCCATCTTTGCCTTCAAGAATCGCCAAGACGACATTACCACAAGGATCGCCTTTCTTAAAATATTTGCGGAGGACTGAAGGACAAGACACAAGTGCTTTCACAATTCTGTCCCCTTCGCTTTCCCAGGGGATGAATCCTTGTTGTGGCACCGTCATACAGCGTAGACATTCCGCTAGAATACCACTTGCTTCCAGCTTCTTGAATGCCCTTTCGGCGGACCATTGATTATCAAATCTAGTTTTCGATATCCCAAATGCCGCGTCAACAATCGCAAGAATCCACCCGGCAATGAAATTTGAAGGCAAGCCACGCCCATTTCCCTTGCACGCCTTGACAAAATCAGCCAAGATAGAAAAGAATCCACCTTCACCAAAAGCAAAAGCCACGGGGACGGCATGCTTCTGAAACATGTTTGTGCAGCATAAAAGAGAGCTCGCTTCGACCGCATCCAAGGTTCCACTTTGAATCCAAGTTCGCTTGGTGGCTAGTTCCTTGATGTCGTCAATGACATATTCCAGCCAAAATCGAATCTCAGTTTCCGGAATCTTCTTCCGAAAGAGATCGGGATCAGCGTGAACAACAAACAAGTTCAGGGAAATTCAACTACCGCTGAGCACACCCTTATCACTAGGATTCAGTCTTTTCTTGCTGCAAATCTTCTTGATCTTCTTCAAAGTGGAAGAAATGAAGTCACAGTTTTTGGAAGTCTTGTCTCGCAAGAAAGCATTCTTCGCACCTTCTCTGGTGCAAATTTCTACTTTACGGCCATCTTGCAAGGTCGTTTTGCACGAAGGGTGAGGGATCATAGCAACTAGGTCGTCGAGATCCTCCATGTTTGAAACTGGCAGGTATGGTACAATGAGAAGGAGAACGGAGCGGTTGTAAAAGTTTATCTATACTTTTTTGTAATGACATGAAAAATATGAAAAGCTAAAATTAGCTAATTTTCGACTAGTTGGACTAAGTGAATCCTCCAGTTTGAAGTTAAAGTTTTCAAAAGTGGATGAGAAACGGCGCTTACATATTGAATAGAAATAATGGGGTACACGTACCTATTGCAACCCATCATTGTCGATACTACCGCTATAATACATTCCGGACTCGTTCACAGAATAGAGTCATATTTATACTTCTACTACTAGGACTACGTTATCTTATATAATATTAACAAAACAAATTGGTACATTTCAGCGTACGGGACAATCCATGTGATTTGTATCTCTCGAGTCATCATCTTTTCCCTTTCCAGACTGATTCGAGAGATGATTGATGATGATTCTTCAAGTGCATGCATTCCTATTTACAACCCAAACGCCAAGTCCTTGAGCAAGTTGCGAGCCAAGGAAACGTTGGCATTGACCATCTTGTCGAGTTCGGCTGCATGGGCCGCCAGCAATTCCTCACGTTCTTGCTCCAGAATCTCCACCTTGCCCTCCAATTCCTTATTGGTGGCTTGTTGCGCATGCCATTCGTTTTCGGCCAAGTCCAGATTGCCACGGAGCTTGCTAATTTCCAACGTTTGACTGGCAATTCCTTGCTCGAGTGTCGTTTGCAGACGAGAGCACTCGGTCTCGAGAACAGCCACCTTGCTCATAAAGGACAATTTCATTTGTTCCTGTACTTGGGCATGTTCTTTTTTACTTGTCAACAATGAGTCGCGTTCTTGTTGGACTGTTGCCAACGCTACTTGCAAACGTTCGTAATTCAATTGAAGGGAACTGTTTTGCGCCGTGGACTTTTTGGTCTGCTGCATCGAATCGGCCAATTGCTGCTCCAACGACATGGTGTGTTCTTGGTCCTTGACTCGCAACGATTCGAGCCTTTGAAGGGAAGTTTGCAAGTCGGAAACTTGACTGTTCAAGGTTGAAATCTCGTCGTGATTGGCCTTGGCCCGAATGGCCTGCTGTTGGACCAGAGTCGAATACTTTTCATCCTCGCGCATCAACGCCGCCCTTTGCTCTTTCAAGACATCTTGCTTTTCGTCGCGGGCCGTCTCCAATTGATCTCGCAAGACCAAGATCTTTTGATTGGCAATGGTCAATTCGACCGTTTCCACTTGGACCAATCGATCTTGCAATTTGGCAATTTTGACTTGTTCGTCTTGCAATCGTTCTTGCAACGACTTTTCCGTGCGCACATGTTGGTCTTGCAAATTCTTGAGTTTTGTTTGCAAAGCCTCAAATTCCATTTGTTTCGAGGTCAATTCTTGCTCGTGCTGTTCCAACAGTCGCTTCTTGCCTTGTTGCAATCGTTTGATTTCCTGAATCAAGTCGTCATTGGGACTTTCCTGTTGCTGCTGTTGCTGCTGCTCTTGTTGTTGCTGATGTTGGCGAACCCGATCGTGCTTGTGTTGCTGTTGCAAACGTTCGCATTCTTGTTTGAGTTGCTCCAATTGATCCTTGAGAAACTTATTGTGAGTTTGAGTCAATCCCAAAACCCCCTCTTGTTGTTCCGCTTGCAATTCATGTTGACGTTGCAAAAACTTGATCTTGTGGTCCATGGACGAAATCTCTTGCTGGTGGGATAGCTTTTCCGCCTCCATGGTTTGTTTCAAGGCCGCCTTTTCATGTTGCAAGATAGTCAGTCGAGAATCCACACTGTTGCTACTGAAATTGTGAGCTCTTCGCACCGAATCAATGGTCGCCTTTAGGTTCAGGCGCTTGCGTTCTTGTTTCTTGACGAGTTCGTGGACTGGGGATTGAGCACTCTTGAGATAGGATGAAGGAGACTTGGCAATAATCGTATGACTGGAATGTCGTCGTTGGAATTGAGGTGCGGTAAAGCTTTTGCGAGGTGGATCGGCCACCGACGCCCAATCCCGCGAATGGACAGGAGTCGTCATGACGGACTGGACCGTAGACACTCGATCTCGTTGTTGCGGATGATGATGATATTGTTGTTGTTGTTGTTGTTGATTGGGAGTAGTAGGACGCATGTCAGTCTCAAAGGTTGTTGTGGACACAACTGTGCGACTGGTAGAAGCTGAGGATCCCTTGACGATAAAGACTTCGTTTGGGATTGTATTCGAGCTCGATTCCGGAGAGGAGGTATCCTGAGTAGCAGATTCTTCTTCCGGTTGTTGCAAGGTGCTGGTGGCCTTGGAAGGCGTTATAGTAGCAGTGGGCTCTTGTGGTTGTAGCTGTTGTAGCTGCTGCTGCTCTTGTGGTTGGACTTCTCCTGCTCCTGCTCCTATGATCTTGCCTTCTGTTACCGTTTCCATGACATGTGGAAAGGATAGGAGCGAGTTGCTGTTATGAAATTGGGACAACATGCCTCCTGATTGCGATGATTGCGGGGTGGTCATGTTGAACGAGTTGGGTGTACTCGCAGCGGTACTCATACTTGTATTGGTAATACCCATACTACTTGGTGGCATGGACGTATTGATCCGCAGAGGCGAAGGCACATGGTTGGTGAATTGCCTTGCTGGATCATCCTCATGATCATGATCATCGCCATTGTCCTTGTACTTGTTGTATTCCTCCTGGGACGGAATGGGCCTAAAGTTTCCTGCAATCATACCATCCGAAGAAGAAGAGAATTCCTCGTCTCCAAAGGTAGCATCCGCAGTCTTGCGAGAATACACACTCTCGGCATGATCCAATTCTTCTCGCAAATCGTTCAAATCGGATCCACTTTCGGGAATGCTGGAATTCATGCTCCAGTCCGTAGGGCTCTTGAGAGTTCGCTTGCCAATTCTGCTACCACTATTGCTGTTGCTGTTGCTGTTGCGTACACCAGACTTTTGAATTTCTTGAAGGGTTCCCTCGAGCAATCGCAGTTGATTGGATTCCAATTTCTCGAGTGACGAGAACGACTGTCGAGGACGTTTCATGTTGGTAGTGGTGGTGGTGGCGGTGGTGGTGGGAGTCGTGGGCGTGTCTTCTGATTTGTCTTCTGACTTGCTAGGTTGTATCGTCGTTTGTTGTTCCTGCTGGTGCTGCAGTTGCAGTTGTTGCTGCATTCGCACCATGCGAATGTTCTTGACCATTGTTGCGTTGGAATTATTGTTATTGTTATTGTTATTGTTATTATTGTTGCGAACAATATTAATGGCAGGCACGGATAACTGTTGCTGTTGTTGCTGTTGTTGTTCTTTGCTGAAAAGACGAATGCTTTTAGGTATCGTTGTAGTAGGTGAGGCAAACGGTGATAATACACTACACCCGTGCGAGGAGTCTTCTTCCGTTTCCGTGCAACGACTGCTGTTGTGGTGGCTGCTGGTGGGAATCAGCAAGTGGCTCATTTTTTTGGTGGGAGTTGGGTGGTGCGGTACGGTGGTGGTGCAAGTACAACTTCCCACATTCAATTCAAAACTTCTCTGGCGGCAGAACGGCTACAAAGGTAGGTGCAAATTGTGGGAGGCTCGTGGCTGTCAATGCTTTTGCCGCGCTTTTGAATTTGAATGCATATGTTCGGCGATGAACATGAAATAAGCAAAAGAATTCGATTGGACTTATGGCTGATGCACAAATTCTGTCGTTACGACAGAACCTGGATGCCGCCGCACGAACCAAACTATGGCGCCAAAGCATCGCGGGAAGTCTGACTGGCTCTCCCGAAAACTTCTTCGAGCAGAATTAGCGCAGCTGCCAGAAGTGTGGGTGACGCGTGACGCGACATTTTGCCAGTTTACTGAAAAAAGATGATGACGCGACATTTTTTAACGGTTACAATTATGCCGGTACGGTATTGGATGTGGCCCCAATCAGATGCTCGCCAATACAGTTTTCTAAATTATAATATGTATCACAATGAACATCCAGCAATATCATACGAGTACTGTACCTGGTACCGACCCATAACACAGATCGGTCTCACTTGTTATTGAGGTACAACACCATCATTTGTTCCAAAGATACCATGTGTGTCCCACAATATTGCACTCCAACCACCAACGCTTAATAAACAGTATGGATGAGCCAATAAACTCTGTTGTAACCACACCACTGTTAGTGATGCATGGTGGATGGTGGATGCTCGAGCCGTCGCTTGTTGAATTGCATTGGATTCGATTTGATTGATTCGGTTCGATTCCATTCGATCCATCGTTATCATTCTATTATTCAACAACAACAACAAGATTGATATATATATATGGCGTTGCATGATTGATTCTCTTTCTTTCCGATACACAACACGAGAATACACCTTCCGTCAACAAGACCATTCTACACACCATACTTTATTTCACTTTTCAATTGATGATGGTACTACGGTATATATTATGCTGAGACGATGGTCGTATTGCGATGTATTACGCAAAAGATAGAATACTTCGACATTCTGCTGCTACTGATAATGATGATGATGATGATGCTGATGATGACGATGATTACATCCGAGCCCGCAATCATAGACTGGCCTGGAAGGAAAGTAGGAACGAACGAACGAATCTTCAACTTTAGTATTGGGGCAAGAAAGCAGCATGTACGGTAGAGATCGGTGATATGACTGATGGTGGCTTCTGAAGGATTTCAAAGAACCGAGCGATTCATTCATTCGTTCACAGAGCTTGAGTTTTTGTGCCCAACACATGCTGGACGAGGCCATTCTTTCCACCACGATGATGACGATGAGGAGGATGATAATGAGGATGAGGATGATAATGATGACAGGTCCTAGTAGTAACTATATTGTCTTGCCAAGAGCGATTGTATCAAACAATGATCCAGAGGACGGCAACAACTTTCTTTATTTTGATAGGGGATTGCTCGCAACAATGATGATCAAAATGTGATGTAGGTTCCAATGCTCTCCCCCCGTTCGTCGAGAGAAGTCCCAATTGTGTAGGTAGGTACGGTCATTATTAGGCAAGAACATATAGTATTTAAAATACAATCCACAAATACACTCCATAAAAACCTGTGCATTATAGTCCCACTTTGTACTTATTGCCACTACTACTGACATTCAGTATCTCCCTTTCTTGGAGCAAATGAACGAACCGATCAATCATCAGCTGGCAAAGTGATGATGACGATGATGACAACACTGTTCATAGCCACCGTTTCGTCTTGGTATTGAGCTTTGACATCAAACTAAGGATTGCCTTTTGTTGTACCTTGTTGACTTTGTATAGCTCCTCTTTTTCCTTGCTCAATCTGTCATAGTCTTGCTGTAACTTCAAGAGTTGAAGTTCCACCAGGGACTTGGCCTTCTTTTCGGTTTCGAGTTCTTCCGATTGCTCAGTCAGCATTCGTTCACTCTGGGCTTGAGATGTGGCCATCTTTTCTTGCAAGGCACGATACTTGACCTGCTGCATCCCAAGCTCATATTCTTGATCAGACACATTCTTTTCCTCCATCTTTGGTTTGCTACCGTTTTTGGTATTTTCTTTTTCTGTTTCCTTCAAGGGTTCTTGGGCGGATTTAAGTGTTGGCACGCTAGGACTGGTGTCGATGCTAATCTCTCCGGGAATACTATTTCTCACTGCTGAAGGTTCAGACTCTGAGGGAGCTGCAGCCCCTTGCTTTTTGTTCTTTTCGGATCCATCGCCTGCCGGTTTGTCACCGACATCAATAAAGTTATTTGGATCGTTGGCCTCCGGAAGTTCGTAGTCGTCTTCGTCTTCAACACTATAGTTTTCAAAACCATTGTCAAATTCACCTTCGATTACCGAAGGATCGGAAGAATCATCTTTGGAGGTAGCACCTTGACTACCGGTATACTCACTCATAGCACCATCTAGTTCCTTTTGCAAGAGTCCTAAGGATGCGCCATCCAAATCCAAATCAGAGTTATCGTCGTCGTCACCATACCGTTGGGAACGGTCATAAACATCATCTTCTCCGATCCCATCCATTTCATCCATACTTACGATTCCAAGTTTGTTCGAAATTTGTTTCTTCAAACTTGGTCTCCAACCCGACTTCTTCCTGCGGCCAGCACTGCCACTGCCACTGCCAGGGGTAACAGTGAGCTCATCCAGAGCTCCATTGATGTCGCGGAGCGATCCTTGGATTGCATTCGCAATACTCGGGCGCCCGACAACGTTCGCAAAGTCGCCCTCCGTGATACTGGGCCGCGCAAGAAGGCTTGGTCTTGCCCTATTTGTGGTCCGTATAACATCATCTATGCTGTCTTCGGCCATCCTGATACTGTAGGTGACTATCTCAAGTGCTGTAGGAAGTTAGTCGCGGTTTCGTCGAATGATGGTATACTGTCCTTTTTTCCAATCTTTTTTGGCGGAAAAGGTTACGGGAAGGATTAATGGTTTGTTTCTCTAGTTCCAAGCAAAATGATTGATGATTGTGACTAGTAGTTGCTGTTGGCTGGAGATGAAAAAATCAGCAATCAAGGGTTGACCGCGGTTCTTCTGTAGTTAGTGGAGGCATTTTGATTTCAATCGGAAACGCAACATCTCGCATACTCATCATACACGTACGTGGACTGACAGCACTGTAGTTGGAAGTTTTTTTGAAAACGGGTCAGGGTTTCACGAGCAATCTGTGCTATTTGCTCCAAATATTTCCTTTGAAAACGCGCTTTTAGCATTGTTTAGCGCGCAAATTGGCGCTCTTGATCTTCGGTCATTTGTGATAAAAAATCTCAAGATCCTCGTCGACATCAGGATTCCCTGCTTTTCGCAAATCCAACAACGTCCTGCTGAAACACTTTTGGATTCATTACAATCCTGAGATCCATTTGGAGGAAACACCGGATATATCTCGATATTCTGGTAGTATACTACAATTAGCTGATATTGACTTGTGTTCTTACTTGACTATAGGAGGAGTAACCAAGCACTCTCTTCACTACGAATCCTTGCTCGTTCCGCTTTCACAATGTTTCCGGCCTTTCGTTTCGTATGTCGAGCAATCGAGGAAGTGCGATCTTTGATGTTCTGATAAAGTTGGCGTATTGGCTTGATTGCTACCCTTTGATTGGTCCCACCCACAGTACCTTCATTGCTAAAAGGTGAGAGGGCTGGACGTTCTCCAGTCCGGCCAGTGGAAGCATTTCGTTCGAAGCCTTGGCTTCGTCTCAGTGATTCCATTTCAAACTTGAGTCTATCGACTTGACTGTCAAGCATATCTGCACGTTTCTTGTACTTCATAGATTCTTCTTTCGATTCTGATAGGCTTGACTTAAGCTCGTAGTACGATCGTTCGGTGCTGAGGATCCTGGCTTCCAGTTCCAACTTTTCCTTTTGGAATTTATTGGTTTGCAGTTTGAAGGACGGTTCGCCACCCACATCAGCAGACGGATCGTGCGACGCAAAGAGAAAGTAGAAGAGGGCCAGAAGGAGGAACAATAGAACGAATCTCATGGCAATTCTTTTTGATTTAGAAGACTTTTCGAGCTCTTGGACTTCCAACAGTCGGACGGAATCCTGCTTCAGTGTTTTAAAGTCTTTCTTTCGCTTCGCCACTTCCTTCTTCAAAGCAGTCTTTTGTCCAATGAGCTCTTGCTTCTCCTTTTTGTGAATCTCCTTCAATTCTCTGATTGCTTTATGCTGAGCATCAGAAAAATCTACCAACTGTCTCTTCTGCGCCTCGTATTCCTCCGCCAATGTCGATTTGGCAATTTCCAACAATCGGACCTTTGCAGCAAGATCATTTTTCTCGGCTTCTTGTTGCTTCAAGTCGTTGTCCCGCTGAACTTTCAACTGATCCAAAGATTTCTTCGAAGCAGAAAGCTCGTCAGATACAGCCTTATGTTCGCTTCGAAATCTTTCAATCTCGTTGTCTCGATTCGCCAGCTGGTCTTCCATGCTTTTCTTGAGTGATTGCTCGCCTTTGCCCATGGTTAGGATCTCGTCTTTGTACTGCTGGCGTGCAGATTCAAGTGACTCCTCTGCTTTTTTCATTTGCGCGACCTTGGCATCAAGCTTCTTTTCCAGCGACAATTTCTTCGCTTGTTCCTCTTCGAGATTCTTCTCATGTTTGCCCTTCATTGCTTCGGATTTCTTCACAAGAGTCTTGCACTTTTCGACAAGTTTCTTTTTCTGCGATGAGAAATCCTTTTCAGACTCCGTCTGCTTGCTTTCCAAATCTCGAATTCTGTCCGATAAGGACTGCTTTGTCGTCTCATGCTTCCTTAACTCCTCTTCGTGCTTCGAACGCAACTGTTTCATAGCCTTTTTGTTCTGATGGAGTTCTTGTGATACCGATTCGAGATCGCTCCTTATTTGTTGGATCTCGCCGTCCCGATTGGCGAGCTCGTCCTTCATGATTTTTTGCAACAAGTATTTCGATGCTTCCAAGTCCGCTCGGTCTTGTTTGTGTTCCTCTTTTGCGGTCTCGATTGCATGTTGCAACTCCGCAATTTCTTGCTGTTTATCCGTTAGTTGTTTTTCTAACAAAAACTTCTGCGCCTTGTACTCTTTGCTCTCCTTAGCATGATCTTTTTTCCAGTCCGCCATTTCTAGCTCCCGCTTGGTAGATTGCATTTTAAAGCTTCCTTTCTCCTTTTCAAATTCTTTTGCTGTTTCTACCCGACCTGCTTGGACTGCCTGCAACTCCTTGGCTAATTCTTTCTTTTCCCCTTTGAGTCGGCGCAGGTCTTCCTCATGATTGTCAAGCAGTTCCCTTACTCTATCCTTTTCTTGTTCAAGCTCTTCCGTTACCAGCTGCAATTTTTTCTTTGTATCCTTAATCGCGGCGTTTTTACTTGCGAATTCGTTTTCTATACTTTGCTTGTGGGACAATTGTTTTTCCTTCAGTAGCTTCATCTCCTCCTGATGCCGTTGCTTTGCGGAATCAAGTGCCTGTTCCACCTCTTCGATTCGTGCCATTTGGCTCTTGATCTCCTTTTCCATAGTTGATTTTTGCAGTTCGTGACCTTCCATATCTTTCTGACGCTGCTTGCTTAGCTCTCGTATTTCTTCAAATTGGGCAACAGACCCTTCGACCAGCTCCCGCTTTTCTTCCTCGAATTTCTGCACAGCAGCTGTGTGGAGCGTATGGATCTCTTTTATTCTCTTTGATAACTCTCGTCGTTCGGTCTCAATTTCCTGTAGGGTAGCATCGTGTGTTGCCTGAAGCTGTCTCATTGCCTCCTTATTCGATGACAGATCTTGTGAGAGAAGCTTGGCTTCTTCACTTGCCCTTCCAATCTCGCTATCTCGATCAGCAAGATTGGCTTCGATACTCCTTCGTAGGGATTCCGTTTCTTGCTTGTACTTAGTAGCTTCTTCCTTTGCAGCGAGTATTCCATGCTTCATTTCACGGATCTCCAGCGATTTGGTCTCCAGCTCCTTGCCCAAGACTTCTCGTTTTCGGTCTTGTTTTTCGCTATCTCTTGCATGGAGATCCTTGAGCCTCTTGATCTCGGCCGTCTGAGCAGCAGAATCTTCGATCAGCTTTTCTTTTTCTCCTTCGAAGCGAATCTCCATTTCCCCCCTTGATGATTCAAGGTGCTGTAGCTTGTCGCAGAAATCACATTTCTCTTTTTCGTATCGACGGACACCATCTTCGTGTTTCGACTGTAACTCTTTCAGCATTTCCTTGCTAGATGCGGCTTCTTCAGAAGCAATCTTTAATTCATCCTGGATTTTAGCGATCCTTTTATCCCGAATCTTAAGCTCGTCTTTCATGGTCTTGGTTAGCACCTCCTGTTCTTCGAGCAAGGCACTGACTTCTGCTTCGTGTTCTTGCTTAGCCGAATTTGCCTTTTTGCAAAGCTCTACAATCTCCAAAGTTTTGGAAGCAATGTCTTCCTCCAGTGATAGTTTCTTCGCTTCTTGGTCCCGCATGCTATCGTCCTGTTTCGATTCCAACTGTAGCATCTTTTCTTCTTGATCAGCCAATTCGTTTGCCAGCATTTTCTTCTCGGTCTCCATTTCCTTAAGCATGTTCGACTTTGCTTCTTCAAGCGCCTCCAATTTCGACTCGATGCTAGCCATCTTCACTTCATGCTGTCGTTGGTTTTCTTCAAGCTGAACCTGCATTATCGTCAAACTCTCCTCCTTCGATAAAACTTCTGCAGATATCAGCTTGTTTTCACTTCGAGCTTTTCCGATCTCGGTTTCTGTAGCCGCAAGTTTATCTTCCAAGCTTTTCTTCAGCGATTCCTCTGCTTCCCTGAGCGAAGTGATCTCTTCAGAATGAAGTTGTTTTGTAGACTCAAGCATGTTCTCAAATTCCCTGATCTTGAGCACTTTGCTGTTGAGCTCTTCCTCCAAGAATCTTAAACTCACTTGGTGTTCTTCCGTTGCCTTTTCGTGCTGGCTCTTCATCTCTTTCATAAGACCGCTGAGAACTGTGTACTTCTTCTCTAACTGCGCCTTTTGATCTTCAATACCTCTGATTGTGGAGCTATGATTTTCTTGAAGCTCAACCAGTTGTTTGGTTAACGCCGCCGTCTCTGACTCTCGTCGCTGAAGCTCGGTGTCGTGCTGCGCTTTGGTTTCCTTCAGCGTCTCCTTACTCTGCTGCACTTCTTGGGATAATCGCTCATGCTCTTCCTTTGCCTGTTCGATCTTATTGTCTTGATCTGCGATCTTATCTTCCATAACTTTCTTCAACAAGCGCTCGGCTTCTTTCAGTGTCTTGACTTCTTCTTCTTGCTGTTGCTTCGCAGAATCCAGCGCCTGTTCAATCTTGGCGACTTGGGCCACCTTGTTCACCAGCTCATTCGATAAAGAATCCTTCTCTGTCTCGTACTCTTGAATATTCTTGTCGTGCCTGTCTTTCAAGTTTTGGATTTCTTGGTATTGAGAAACAGACTTGGCGATCAGGTCACGCTTTTGTTCGTCGAATTCCTTCGCGGAAGTCGCATGAAGGGCCTGCTGTTCTTCCATTTTTGCAGCCAAGGCTTGGCAATCCGACTCCAGTTGAAATATTGCTTCCTTGTGTTTTGATTCTAGTTCCGTCATGGCTTCCCTGCTTGATAAAAGCTCTTGGGACAACAGCTTGATCTGGTCTCTTGCTTTAGAAATTTCGCTGTCCCGATTAGCTAGTTTCTCTTCCAATTCTTTTTTCAACTTCAATTCTTCTTGCTTGATATTGCCATTTTGGTCTTGTCTGGTAGCATCTAATTCTTGTTGAATCTCGTCCAATTGACGCTTCATCCATGTCTTGTCGTTCTCGGAGGCAGTGTTTTGAAGACCAAAGTCATCTTGCAAACGCTTGAGTTCAGCGGTCAGCGAACGAATATTCTCTTCCTTTCTAGTAATTGCTTCTTGGTGCTTCTTTTCAAGTAATTTAATTGCTTCTTGATGACCTTCCATTTCTTCGTTTTGAGTTTTCGATCGGAGCACGAATTCCTTTAGCTTTTCAGATTGCTCCGTTTCCAGGCTCTGGATTTTCTCCTCGAGGCTGCCAATTTTAGCCTTCTTTTCATCGAGATCTGCCTTGTACTTGGCCTCACTCTCTTCCATACGCTGCTGTTGAATATTCAATGACTCGGACAGTTCTTCCTTTTCCTTGTTGAGACCGTCGCCGACTTCTTCCCAATTGGCAATGGCGGTGCTCTGCTCCTGAAGACTATTGCTCAATTCTTGCAGCAGACTTGTATCTTCCTTATGCTGGGCTTCAAGTTCATCGATAGCTTTTCGCTTGGATCTGAGTTCCTTGGAGAGAGATTTTGTCTGCTCGGAAATCTTTTCTAGGTTTTGTGAGTTGGCTCTCTTGACTTCGTCCATTTGTTGCTGCAACATGTTCAGTTCATCCTGCTTTTCCATCAAGGCATTCTGATGCTCAACTTCTAAACTCGTCAATACTTCTTGTTGGCTGGAGAATTTGACTTCCAAGGATGCGGCTTGCTGAAGCAGCTGTCTTTTCTCCGCATTATGTTTTTCCTTGAGATCCCTCACTTGCTTCTCCAGGACAAGCTTCGCCTCCTTATGTTCTTGCATGATATTGGCGTGCTGTACAGTCATGTCGGCACTGACACTTCGGACCTCTTGCAGTTCTTGTTCGAGTTCTTGTCGCCTGGCTTCGTCGCTCATCAACTTCTCGGATTGATTGGATTCCATGTCTGCCAACTTTTTGAGACGAAAGGACAATCGTTTCTCCAAGGCGGAACGTTCCAGCCGGACGCGACGAAGAGATCCTTCTTTTTGCTGTCGTTCCATTGTGAACGCATCATTCTTCAGCTTGACAGTGTCGGAGTCTTCGGTGCCCACTGTATGTTCGTCAGCTTCATGAATGTCTTCCAACGTGTCTTTCCATGAAAAGACGCTCTTGTCAGAACTGCTGTTATCCATGAAACCTGTGGGAGAATGGGACCTTCGTGGTGAGTGGGACTTCTTTCGTCCAACAGGAGAGATTATTCCTTGTAGGTGATGGTAGGAGGAGGAATCATTTGTAATTTCACTGGCGTCGTCTACCATAGAAGGATCTAGCATTGTCTCATATTGCTGGTCAGCCATTGCTAGCTCCGCCTGAAGGTCATCGAGGTCGTCAAAGTTTCCACTCTCAAAGAAGGAGTCGCGTGCGCTGAAGGGTGCTGCGCCACTAGCGCTTTCTCGAATGTGATCAATCTCGTCTTCCATGTCACCCAACCCACTTGCCAGGTTCAATAATGACCCCCTCCGCATGAAGGAGAGCCGAGTTCCTCTGCCATCAGTTGTCATCGAACCCCTTCTCAGAGGTTCTAATGTCGAGATATTTGTTTCAGAGGTTGTATCCATGGTATCCATAGTGGTTTCCGCAGCCGTGCCAGAAGTCTTTTCCAAATCGTCATCATCGTCTGAGGAATCATGGAGGTGCAAATCTTCAATGGCACCATCGAGAGTATTCAGACCAAGGTCCAATCTCCTCAAGGATTTGTACCTCTCTAGGTTGAAGCCTCTGTCTTCAGCTGCCATTTTCTTTCAATATATTCATTAGCGTTCATTCATCCACCCTTGGATACTCGTAGCGTTGGTGTGCCTTTCGGGTTTTTTTTTTTTCGGATTGAAATTCCGTTTCCCGTTTTTGGCAGGCTCTACTTTACATGTATTGTACTGGTAGCTCTCAAAAGATTGTCCAGTTTTCCTCGTTCAACTTACGTTGCGTCATTCCACGCAAGTGTCCTACCCGAATAATACTTATGGGCATTTTGTTCTCCATCGCCATTTCCTTGACACCACTTTTTTCATATTATGCAAAAGCAACTGAAGAATGAATATTTTTTAAAATACGGCAGGTTTGTCGAGTCAGCTTCAGTTCCAAACGCACAACACAGAGACAAACTGAGAGATGAAAATGATGATGATGATGATAGATGTGGCCTATCATCATCAGCAGGAGAGGAGATCATTCTGAAAGAGCTAAATCAGGCTCAATTGCGTTCGGACTAGTCGTTTTCAGCATTCTTGGTTTTTAAAAATGATTGATTGAGTGAGTGAATCTTCGAGCGAGATTGGATGAGAAATGATTGATAGAATGTAAGATGCCCTTTTGCCATTGGGACTACCGGAAGAAGTACGAAGGAGCAAAACGAAAAAAAAATTTGATCTGCTATTTTATATCTTCACTATTGCGTATACCGTCTTCAAAACTGCGCCCCGTTATCCGTCCATAAAACGATGGACGATGTTATCGTTAGTTGACCTTTCGAAGATTTTTATGAAGCAAATTAGTTCTCCATTTTTATTTGCTTTTGTGATTGCCCAGTCTGTTCCTGAGACAAGTCCTTCTTCAGGAAAAACGTATGGCAAAATGGGAAACTGCGCGCACTGGACCGTGTGGATCTCCTTTGCGCGATTCATTCTGATGCTGCCAATGCCTGTCAGAGTGTCAATAAAACTTTGGATCCGATCAAAGATCAAGCCACACCCCTTCTTCGCTTTTGATCATACGGCGATGCCGAGGAAACAATCGGTTCTTCAATTTCGATGCTGCATCCTGGACCACTGTGGCAGCACGATCCCTGAAGAAAGATGCCTGGGATTTGATGTCGTCTTGCAGAGCAGATAGCGAGATCCAAAGTGCTGCAAAATTCTCGTCGAGCATGTCAGTTGCAAGAGATACTCCTTGGCGTAGAAAAAGTGGAAGATCACGAAGGGTTTCCTTTTCAAATCCTTCCAATTGAGATAACATCGCCAGGTTCTCCACAAGAAAGAATTCCGCCTCGAGACCAGCTTTTGACAATTCAAACACGGTTGCCTGGCTGTCTGCAAATTTTACGGAAGCATTATCTTGTGACACAACCGAATCACTCATCTCCACAAAAGTTGATGGCGATTCTTCCTGAAACTCCAAACTTTTCGCTTCCGCTGACAAACAGGCTGTGACTACAGGGGTAGCAGCAGCATCAAGTAATTGAACTTGCGTCTCGATGCTGCCACGCTGCTCAATCAAGCCTTCCAATTGTGCTTCGAATAAAGCAGCCAAGGAAAGAGTCGGACTATCGAAACATCGAGGCAGAGAATCATGGCTTGTTTCTTCAGAGTACAAATCAAGGTAGTTGGCGTGTTCCTGTTGAAGTGCTTCGTACTTGACAAGCAACTTGTCGAGCTGGCCCGCCAATCTGAATGCTTCCTGCCTATGACTCATCGATGCCGAGGTCGTCTCTTCGAGTGAATGCTGAAGTTCCACATTCATGACATCATTGGCCATATCCTGCATCTCCCAATCCTTTACTTCATTTTGCAAGGCTTCAATTTTTCGATTGAAAGAGTCCCTTTCGTCGATACTGCTTCGCATCAATCGCACAATGACCCAGATGATCAGGATTGAGAGCAACGAGACAATTATCCCCCTCGTTCCCACAAATGACTGCTGTTTTAATTTTCGACCAGCTGCCGAAGCGATTCGCGTCTCCTGTACCTTGTCATCTTCATCAGCCATAGGATCCAAACAGCTTGATCGACTGGTGTCACTTGCTTCAACTGCCACCTCGTGATCAGACTTAAAGTTGCTGTATGTCGTATCCGAGCCTTCCAAATTCCGCGACATCATCTGGTATTCTCCTTCCTGTCCCACGTTGCGCTTCGATTTGATGGTTTGAAGCTTTTCTTCCAAGATATTGATCCTTTTCTGGGCATTGCTACGCTCCATGTCTCGCATGGCCTTGAGGCCCTTCAGCTGCGAGGAAATTAGTTCGAACTTCTTTTTCTGTGCTTGCAATAGCCCAGCCCGTTCCTTTTTCATCTTGGTACATCGTTCATCGAGCTCTTGCAACTGCTCTTCCAGTCGCTGCTTCTCTTCTTTGCTTGCCTTCAGGGTACTTTCTTTGGCAACTTCAATCTCGGAAATGGCCCTTTCTTTTTCAAGCAGTTTCCTCATTAGTATTTCTTTCTGCCGATGAAAGGAACCGACGGTTCTTTCGTACTTGGATTGTAGCTTCTTCAACTCCTCCACCAAAAAAATTTGACCAGATGCGTGAGCCTTCATCTCTTGTTCGTGTCGAATTCGGAGCTTGTCCAGAGCATCGTTGTATTGGACGAGCTGCTTGGATAACGACTCGTTCTCTTGCTTGAATCGATCAAAACCAGGATTGGACACCGATACGCTGTTCTCCAAGAGTTCCTCTTCAATCTCATGGCGTTCCAATTTCAGGCTAGTAATTTCTTGCTCGTGCCGAGACTTCAATCGGTCAATCGTCGAAGTAACATTGACCAACTTTTGATTCAACGACTCGTTTTCATTGGCAAAGGTTGCCAATTGTTCGTCATATGTGGCCTTCAACTCAGACAATTCAATTTCGTAGGAGCTGTATCGCTGGCGACTATTCTCCATAATTGTCTTGTGCTTGGTTTCCAATCGAGCAATGATTTCCTGCTGGACTGACAGCTGCCTGTTCAATATGTCACTTTCTTGGTCAAATTGATAGAGGAGCATGTCATTGTTCTCGTTCAGCTCTTGCACGTTTTCGTTCACTAGCGCAGGTTCTGCTTGACCATAATCCAGAGCTGGGGGCGTGCTTCGTCCCTCAAAATCCTTCTTTTTCTTGGCTGATTTACTGTGCCTAACCTTGGTCTTCAATTCGGCCAAGACTTGGACAGCCTTTTCGTTTCGTGTCCTGATTTCATCAATCATATCGGGTGGAGTGTCATAATACTTTGGTGATAGTCTGGAAACCTTGGGAGGACTCTGACACATGTGAAGAATATGATTGATCGTCAATGCTTCGGGGATTTTATCGATACCAACTGGCAGCTGCGAATCTTTTCGAAGAAGAGTAGGCTTCTTGGGAGATGCTGCCCACCAGCTATCCGTATCCCGCCATGATCGAGTAGTATTATGAATAGAAGAGCTATTGCCCATGGAAGATGCACCGTCCAACTCTTGGACCATGTCCGAAGTGACAGAATCCACCGGTTCCAGATCTTCCTGTACAGTTGCGAGTGCCATTTCTAGCTTTTGACGTCTCGACTCTTCCTCTTTTGTTTTTTGCTGAAATTGAGTAGAGAGCTCTTGAATTTGTTCAGCCTTGTTTTGAAGTTGCCGTTTCAGGGATGCACGCTCATCCTTGGCTTGTTTCACAACACTATTATGTTGCACTTGCTTGCCTTGAAGTCGTTTCATTAGGACCACAACCTGGTCTTCGACCGCTTGCATGCTCTTGCCATATTCTTTCTCTTCGCTGGTACGAGATTGTTGCATTTGATCCATTTCCGTCTTGAGAGCTCGATTTTCTTCTTTAACCAGTGTAAGTATTTCTTCGAGTTGTCGAAAGGCCGTATTTTGTTGCTGCCTTGGCCGACTGTACTCTTCTTGCAGGCCCTCGGTACTTTCCTTCAACGAAACTGGGGCGAAATGAATCTCGGGTGCCTGTGCCGAGTGAGCTGGTGGTTGGAAATCATTGGATTCCATCCTTGTCAACTCAGAGTGTTGCGAACTTCTTGCTTTAGTGCTCGTGCCATCTTCTTTTAGACTTGTTGTACTTTCATCCAGCGAGATCAGAGATGGATGGTGATTCGTATCTTGCGGTTCTGCTCTGGACTGTGGCTGGAAATCACTGGATTCCATTTTGGCCAATATAGCTCGATCGCGGAGAACATCCGTTCTTCCATTATCAACCTTTCCTAACAAATCGCTTTCCGCTTCGACCACAATAATGGACTTCCCGTCCCAATCAAACATATCCCCAAACTCTTGATCTGCATTGGCCAGCTCTAGCTGAAGATTGTCTAAATCATCATCCGAAATGCTTCCACTGATCATGGGTCCCTCCTCATCATTTGCAACGTCCCCAAGCTCCATTTCGTCCACCAAGGCATCCATTTCTTGTGCTAGATTGTAAAGAGCCTTTCCCCGAATAAAGGAGAGAGATTCATGCGAGTGGTTGGATACAACGGTGGAAATTTCAGATGCGACACCACTCTGTGAATCAAAGTTGTGCAAGGCGCCCGTACTCTGAAATCCTCCCGAGGAGGAGGAGGAGGAGGATGACACAGAATCATCATTGACAGTCCCCTCTACTTGACCTCTGCTGTTATCGGACACGATCCTTTCATGCAGATGCGTTTCTGAGTCATCGGGATTGTCATGAATCAGGCCGGATCTTCGTTTGCGAATAGCAGTATCCTGGCCACTGTTCTCTTTCCTCCTAATACCACGCTTCATTTTTGTAGGGTTACCACCAAGGAGACTTCGTGTTCGTCATGCTACTCTACTCTCTTCTTTGCAATCCTAACAAGAGTGACACTATACGATACCGTACCAGGTACACTACTACCAGACTGGTCTGCAAGATTTTAGTGTTCGTTCTCAAGTTTTCGTGTAAGCCTTTGACGTGTCGTTCGTGTCGTTTTAGCTCGCATGGGAGGCTTATTGCCCAATGACGCTTTTTTTTTTAAAGTTCTAATTGGCAACGACATGCACGGCGACATCAATGAAGAAAAGATACCAAATGAAGCATGGTCATGTGAAACGACATCTACAACACTCTAGACTTTTGTATGATCGACCAAAGTAGTATTTTAAAATACAATGGCTTAGAAATGTATTAGAGAAATAATGTCCAACCGGGAAGGATTTTGGGAGGGGGTTCACGACAGACACCAAAAAGAACATCATTGTCGAAAGTCTTCTCGTCACCTGTCCGTCTTACTCCCACTCTGCTAGAAGCAACCGACTGCATTCAAAGCTGAATATTGCATGCCAAACCTTTCCACTCGCTTCGGAATCTTCCCATTATGCACAATACAAAGATGTGAACAGTCGATCTTTGTCCCCTGCCGGGATGCGGGTGTCTGGCTGGTGAAACATCTCATCTTCGTTGCACTTGTCTCTACGTAACAACCACGCATTTTATAAGAAAGTAATCTGCGTCGATTAGTCGCCATCCATCCAAACAAGGCTTGGATGAATGAATCATCTGTGATACGTCGAACTTGCTGATTGATAACTCTTCCTGAAAACTTTCAGAGCTTCGTCGCTTGTCGTTTTGTGAACAAACGACAACAAGCCAGAAGAGAGCTCAAGTTCGATGGGAACCAATCCGCATCAGCAGCCGATGAAGGTCGATCCGTGATGACAAAAAGGAGAAGTATCGAAGCGTGCAGACTTGATTGTGGATATCACCTTTGTTGAGAAAGTGTGGTGTACTTCTGCCTTTTCACTGAGCCAGCTGCGTATAGGGTGTGCCCATTATATCAATACGTATCTCTGGGCAGCATCTTGGAAGTATGTGAGCGTGATTGAAACTCCTTTTGGCGGTTCAAACGGCTGATTGTGTGGACTTCAAAAACACTGAGAAGCAGGCAGTGAGTCTCAGCTTCAAACTTGTTGGAAACGCTTTTCAGACATAATCAATAATCGACTAGTTGGACTACACAGAAATGGCGAATTTTCGGACACGCACGCTCCAAATCTTGAATTATTCTGAAATTGAGACCTCTCGTTTTGCAGACAGCAAACTTCGGCATTTGCGGAATCACACGTGCGGAAAAACTTGATGGCAATATTTTAAAAAAAGTCCGCATTAAAATTCATCTCTATTGGTACACGGTACCTGGTACCTGCACAAGGTACACGTACCAGCTGCACATTTCCAGCCAATCAAAATGCTCACCCAAACCGAACAAACTGGAAACACATCGAAGAGGAAAATCGAACAAGACAAAATACCAGTGAACTTTCCTTCTACAATATCTCTACATAAGAGCAAGCAATCAAGCAGCTATTACAGCATACTATGTAAACCATATTCATAAAACTAATGCAACTGTTACACTAGATTTGACTGGAAGATTTTCGTTCTCTAGCCGTGAAAAAACGTGCAGGCTTCCGACCAGCAATCCCATGCTGATACTCCCGCCAGAGTTCGTTTAACGACCTGGGATTGCCCGATAGAATAGCCATGTTCGCAACTACGATGGGACTAATATCTGGATTTGCTCCTCTTGCTGGAAGTGGTAGTGTAGTAGTCTGCGGCCGGTATTTGCTTGTTGGAGTTGGATTCGCAAGCCACCTTCAATTGTTCCGCCAAAAGCACGAATGTTGTTGTTTAGAATTCGATCACGATGCCGGATGTAGGCTCTCAAATCTGAAACATTTGTATGAGATCGAGCAGCAACGTTGCTAAATTGTTGTTGCAGTTGCTGGATACTTATCTGGATGCTTTGGAAGAACAAGTCTCCTAAGTTGAGTTCCCTGCCACCACGCCTCCACCAGTACCAGCGCCCCCATCACCGTCTATAATAATAGCCTCATCAATCGTCAACTGGTCGTCACTCTTTTTTTGGCTGGTTGTTGTATATCAGGCAGCAATGTATGGGCGGCACTGTGGATTATCTGATGGCAGCCCACACCAATGCCAAGTAGCCTAGTCTTCTGGTGGTGCAAAGCGCCTCCTTCCAGCGTCGAAATGGTCGTTATTGGCTGCTGCTTCCTCCATCAGGACGTCACTGCCCATATTTGCTTGTTCTTCTGCAGTTGTTTGACCCTGCATCTCTCAAAGAAGAAGGATCGAGAAAGTGTAATTTTTGTATTGTGGATGAATAATACTGTCTTGTGATGAATATTGTCAGAAAGCTAGCTACTTTTATGATACGATATAATATTTAAGGCCAAAAGTAACTTTTTTGTTTGAGCGATGGATATCCTGCCTGAAAATTACTTATGGTACGACACGAATATTTAAGACAAAGAGTAACATTTCTGTTTGAAAATGTTGCGTGGCATGTTACAGAGCGAGCAACGGTACCGTCAAAAATACTGCCAAAAAGGCATAAGTATCAGTGCATTTGACACAGATGACTCGAAATTCATATGTATTTTGAGCAACGGTACCGTATTTATGTTACTTTCGTAACATTCCACATATAATGTACCGGTACGACAACGAACTCTTTGCACCGGTACAATACGCGTCCATTAGCTAGTGGAAAATCTATTTGGATCCCTCTGTCATGATATTTCTTGAGTGTAGAAAGATGGTATGTCTAAAGTTCCTATGTATCTTTGGAGTTTCCGGTAGGCGAAACTCTCTTCCGGAAAAATATTGAGAAGTTGAAATAAACAAAGAAGCTCCCATGACACTAGTACATAAGTGTACAGAAAATGCCGTATACCCTGTCAAAAATTCCGATCGTCCATGTTGCAACCACCAAAACGATTTCGACACGACGAATTTGGCACTTTTCTGACTGCAATCACAAAACACAGACAGGACACAAGAAACAATGTCAACTGAAGAGCAAGAAAAGCCAACCACTACCGAGGAGGAGCTTCCCATTGAAGGCAAGCCCATGTCCTTCCGAGACTCCTTCATGGGCGAGAAGGGAAAATACGATTACGGTGCCCTCTGCATGCCCAATATTCCCTTCTGCGGCAAGCCAAACCAGCAGGTCAACTTTTACGGCAGAGGTAAGCCATTGCACTGCGACATACTGCAATGCATCGACTCTGATAGACAAGATTCATCTAACGTTGTGCCTGTCCTCCCATTCTGTTATCTATTGATTCTGCTCTGCCTGGCTGTTCGACGAATGACCTTTGATTCTTCTTCTTCTCCTCCAAGATGAGCCAATTCCAATTTTCTTGGCCTTGATCATGGGACTGCAGCACTGCTTCGCCATGGTGGGTGGTTTGATCACTCCACCATTGGTCGTCTTTCGCTTTACCGTCTGCGGTTTCCCTTTCTGCGCTGACCTAGAACAATATGCCATTTCTGCTGCCCTCATTACCTCTGGGTTCTGCAGTATCTTCAACGTGGCTCAGTTCGCCATTCCTTTCTCTGAGAAGATCACCGGCAAAGCCTACTACGTGGGAAGTGGTGTCCTCTCTGTTTTGGGTACATCCTTTACCTTTTTGCCCATTTACGAGATTGCCATTGCCCAAATGAAGCAAGACGGTATGTCCGGCGAGGCCGCTTACGGAGCCATGCTTGGAACTTCCATGGTTTGCTGCCTCTTGGAACTCTTCCTTTCTTTCATGCCAATCAGAATCATCAAGAAGATCTTCCCTCCCATTGTCACTTCCATCACTGTTATTTTGATTGGTGTGGCTCTTACCGGAACAGGAATGAAGTACTGGGGAGGAGGTGTCGTCTGTGCCGAAATGGGATGGCAGACACATGCCTCTATCGTCGCTCAAGATCTTTCCTTTGGACCTCCCTTCCCTACCTGTACCGCTGGTGAGACCTCGTACATGTACGGTGACCCCAGATACATTGGACTCGGATTCTCTGTCTTGGCCTTTTTGGTCGTCATTGAAATGTGGGGAAGTGTGTTCATGAAGAATTGCAACGTTCTCTTGGCTCTTTTGTTCGGATACATGATTGCTGGCCTTGCCCCTGAGAAGTATGTCGCTCAAGACAATATCGAACTCGCCGAGCCCATTACATTCCTTTGGGTCTACACCTTCCCAATTTCCGTCTACGCTCCTGCCATCATTCCGATGCTCATTGCCTACCTCGTCACTACTGTCGAAACGGTTGGAGATATTACAGGTAAGAACGACTGATCGATGGATTGCCACTGCCAAAACAGAGATACTGATTGACAAACTTGTTTTCCACAATTTCTTCTGACCAAACTCCTTTATTTGTCGTTGTTTCCGTTTTTTGTCACAGCTGTGTACGAGGCATCCCTATTGGATACCAACACCGAAGAATACAACGACTCCATTCAAGGAGGATTGACCGCTGATGGTGTCATGTCCATTGTTAGTGCCCTCTTCACATCCATGCCCAACACCACTTTCTCCCAGAACAATGGTGTCATTGCCCTTACCAAGTGTGCCTCCCGTCGTGCTGGTTACGCCTGCGCATTCTGGCTCATTTTCTTTGGTGTTCTGAGCAAGGTAGCTGGTGTCATTACCAGTATTCCCGATTGCGTCCTTGGTGGAATGACCATTTTCTTGTTTGCCAATGTCTTGGCATCCGGAATCAAGTTGGCCAGTGAAGTTGACTTGCAACACAGCCGTCGTAACCGTTTCATCTTGGCCTTTTCTTTGGCTCTTGGTGTTGGTGTCACTGTGTGGCCATATGCCTTCATGGATCGTCGTGCTTCTCCTTACACTGCCGCCTTCTGGCCTTGTGCGGATTGCAACAATACCATGAAGGGTCTCCGTAACGGAGTCTCCATCTTTTTGTCCACAGGTTACTGTGTTGGAACCGTTGTTGCCATGATTCTGAACGGAATTCTTCCAGCAGATGCAGAGATTATCTACTTTGATGAGAAGCACAAGAACACCGCTGATGAGAAGAAGGCTTCTGACGAGCCAGAGGACGAAACTGCCGCCTAAGCATGGCCGGTCGTACTCTTTATACATGTCCTCTACAAATAGATCTTTTTGCTGAGGATCCAGTTTCGGTTGGAGCCAAAAGCATAATTTTGATTAACGATTTAAAATTTTAGTACAAAGTGAATTAGACTCTATTTTCGCGATACTGGCTGCTACTGTTGATGCAGTGTATTGTAAGGACAATAATGGTACCATAGTAAAACAAATCCTCGTCTGAAATCAACGACATTCATTCGTGACAAAGAATAGGTTTCAATCCCGAGCTTCGTTTGCCAATAGCAGTACACTATGCCTGGCCTCTGTTCTCTTTCCTGCCAATACCGCGCTTCGTTGCTGTAGAGCTGCCATCAAGAAGACGCCACCTTTACCATTCTATTGCCACTGTCGCCTTTGCAATCCTCTACAATACACGAAGTACTACTGCAACCAGACGCGAACATCACCACCAGTGAAAAAATACTTGTTGTCACAAACGACTTATACAACACACTAGACCTTTGTATGATCAACCAATGTAGTATTTTAATGCAATGGCTTAGAAAAGTGTATCACACAAATTATATGAAGGTGCCAAGGAAATAGTGCGAAAGCCTTTCTCGTCACCTGTCCGTCTCACTCCCACTCTTATAGAAGCAACCGACTGCTGCATTCAAAGATGAATATTGCATGCCAAACCATTCCATTCACTTGATGATCTTCCCATTTTGCACAATACACAAATCTGAACAGTCATTCTTTGTCCCCTGCTGGGATGCGGCATCTTCGTTGTTGCACATTGTCACTACTACTCAACAACCATGCCGCCCTTGTACCCCAAGAAATTAAGCATCTTCAGCTATTTCCACCAAGTTGTCGCCATACATCCACACAAGGCTTGGATGAATGAATCATCTGTGATACGTCGAACTTGCTGATTGATAACTCTTCTGAAAACTTTCAGAGCTTCGTCGCTTGTCGTTTTGTGAACAAACGACAAAAAGCCAGAAGAGAGCTCAAGTTCGATGAAATCAATCCGCATCAGCAGGAGATGAAATCCCATTGCTTAAATTGAGGTCGAACGGTGCTGACAAAAAGAAGTAGTATCCAAGCGGGCAGATGTGTTTGTGGCTATCATCTTGGTTGAGCAATGGTTTCGGGCACATTTCCGAAAAAGTAAGCCTCTTTTTGTTGTAGTGCTCCGTTTTACCGGACACGTGTTTAGGTACCAGAAAAGTATCTGCTTCGGCATTTGGGGAGTGTCAACAACGATTGATGGAACGGCAACGAAAGTAGCTGATGGCGAATTTGATACTATGGCGAAGCTACCACGTACGTGTAAACGTGTATTTGGTACCACATGCGTGTCCTGCGTGGAAATAATAGTTCGATCTCCTTGTCATGATATTTCACAAGCGTAAAAAGAAGGTAACTGTGGTTTGAAGTTCTGTCCGATGTACCGGTAAATCATTGACAAAACGAACAACCGACTGGCAATACATACTGTACACGACGACATCACTAGTGAAGAAAGAAAAAAACCAAAATGAAATATGGTCGTCGAAACGACTACAAGTACAAACAGCACTCTAGAATTTTGTGTGATCAACCAATGTATTACTTTCATGTAGATCCAATAGTGTCCAACCGGGAAGGATTTTGGGACGACAAGAATTGTCGAAAGCCTTCTTCTAATACGCAAACCTGAACAGTCAATCTTTGTCCCCTGCTGGGATGTGGGTGTCTGGTGAAACATCTCATTTTTGTTGCACTTGTCAATACGTAACAACCACACATTGCATCCCCAAGATATTAAGCATATTAAGCTATCTGCGCCGAGTTGTCGCCATAAATCCACACAAGGATTGAATGAATGAACAATCTGTGATACGTCGAATTTGCTAAGTGATGATTCATTCAACCCGAAAACTTTCAGATTTTCGTTGCCTGTCTTTAAAGGAATTCAGCAGGCGAAAGCTTAAAAGTTCGATATAAATCAATTTACTTCAGCAGTCGATGAAAATTCCAATACTTGCATTTAGGTCGATTGATGACAAAGCGGTGAATATGTTTGTCTATCGCCGTTGATTGTTTAGCAAAACTTTCACGTTCATTTCGAATATGCCGCCAAATTACTGAACACGAGCAGCATTTTTGTACTCCCAACGTTTGTCACCCAACATATACTCATTCTGCAACGCTTTTAAAATTGCTATCTTCATTGAGAGGGCCACGGTGATGGGATCTCCTCCCCTTGTGTCTGATCGAGCTTCTCGTTTTATCTTCAGAAAGCAAACTCGGCATTTTCAATGATCATGTGATCTTGAGCGGCAACGAAAATAGCAGATGGCTATCTTTTTAGCGTTCACGCTACTGTGTTGTACGTGTGTACGTCTTTCTTTTTTCCAATATAAGTATGACATATATGGCGAAGGCTACAGATCACCTGCAGACCTTGTTCCGATGGTACCTATAAGTGCAAAATATTATTCATTTATTGTCATGATATTTCTTAAGTATAGAACAAAGGAAAGGGTAAAGTTCCTATGTATCTTTGGAGTTTCCGGTAGGCGAAATTGTCATGTTTTTCGATCTTCCGCAAATATCTTGAGAAGTTCCAGTTCGCAGGATCCCGATGACACCGTTACATAGTGTACGGAAAATGCCGTATACACTGCCAAAAATTCCGATCGTCCATGTTGCAACCACCAAAACGATTTCGACACGACGAATTTGGCACTTTTCTGACTGCAATCACAAAACATAGACAGGACACAAGAAACAATGTCAACTGAAGAGCAAGAAAAGCCAACCACTACCGAGGAGGAGCTTCCCATTGAAGGCAAGCCCATGTCCTTCCGAGACTCCTTCATGGGCGAGAAGGGAAAATACGATTACGGTGCCCTCTGCATGCCCAATATTCCCTTCTGCGGCAAGCCAAACCAGCAGGTCAACTTTTACGGCAGAGGTAAGCCATTGCACTGCGACATACTGCAATGCATCGACTCTGATAGACAAGATTCATCTAACGTTGTGCCTGTCCTCCCATTCTGTTATCTATTGATTCTGCTCTGCCTGGCTGTTCGACGAATGACCTTTGATTCTTCTTCTTCTCCTCCAAGATGAGCCAATTCCAATTTTCTTGGCCTTGATCATGGGACTGCAGCACTGCTTCGCCATGGTGGGTGGTTTGATCACTCCACCATTGGTCGTCTTTCGCTTTACCGTCTGCGGTTTCCCTTTCTGCGCTGACCTAGAACAATATGCCATTTCTGCTGCCCTCATTACCTCTGGGTTCTGCAGTATCTTCAACGTGGCTCAGTTCGCCATTCCTTTCTCTGAGAAGATCACCGGCAAAGCCTACTACGTGGGAAGTGGTGTCCTCTCTGTTTTGGGTACATCCTTTACCTTTTTGCCCATTTACGAGATTGCCATTGCCCAAATGAAGCAAGACGGTATGTCCGGCGAGGCCGCTTACGGAGCCATGCTTGGAACTTCCATGGTTTGCTGCCTCTTGGAACTCTTCCTTTCTTTCATGCCAATCAGAATCATCAAGAAGATCTTCCCTCCCATTGTCACTTCCATCACTGTTATTTTGATTGGTGTGGCTCTTACCGGAACAGGAATGAAGTACTGGGGAGGAGGTGTCGTCTGTGCCGAAATGGGATGGCAGACACATGCCTCTATCGTCGCTCAAGATCTTTCCTTTGGACCTCCCTTCCCTACCTGTACCGCTGGTGAGACCTCGTACATGTACGGTGACCCCAGATACATTGGACTCGGATTCTCTGTCTTGGCCTTTTTGGTCGTCATTGAAATGTGGGGAAGTGTGTTCATGAAGAATTGCAACGTTCTCTTGGCTCTTTTGTTCGGATACATGATTGCTGGCCTTGCCCCTGAGAAGTATGTCGCTCAAGACAATATCGAACTCGCCGAGCCCATTACATTCCTTTGGGTCTACACCTTCCCAATTTCCGTCTACGCTCCTGCCATCATTCCGATGCTCATTGCCTACCTCGTCACTACTGTCGAAACGGTTGGAGATATTACAGGTAAGAACGACTGATCGATGGATTGCCACTGCCAAAACAGAGATACTGATTGACAAACTTGTTTTCCACAATTTCTTCTGACCAAACTCCTTTATTTGTCGTTGTTTCCGTTTTTTGTCACAGCTGTGTACGAGGCATCCCTATTGGATACCAACACCGAAGAATACAACGACTCCATTCAAGGAGGATTGACCGCTGATGGTGTCATGTCCATTGTTAGTGCCCTCTTCACATCCATGCCCAACACCACTTTCTCCCAGAACAATGGTGTCATTGCCCTTACCAAGTGTGCCTCCCGTCGTGCTGGTTACGCCTGCGCATTCTGGCTCATTTTCTTTGGTGTTCTGAGCAAGGTAGCTGGTGTCATTACCAGTATTCCCGATTGCGTCCTTGGTGGAATGACCATTTTCTTGTTTGCCAATGTCTTGGCATCCGGAATCAAGTTGGCCAGTGAAGTTGACTTGCAACACAGCCGTCGTAACCGTTTCATCTTGGCCTTTTCTTTGGCTCTTGGTGTTGGTGTCACTGTGTGGCCATATGCCTTCATGGATCGTCGTGCTTCTCCTTACACTGCCGCCTTCTGGCCTTGTGCGGATTGCAACAATACCATGAAGGGTCTCCGTAACGGAGTCTCCATCTTTTTGTCCACAGGTTACTGTGTTGGAACCGTTGTTGCCATGATTCTGAACGGAATTCTTCCAGCAGATGCAGAGATTATCTACTTTGATGAGAAGCACAAGAACACCGCTGATGAGAAGAAGGCTTCTGACGAGCCAGAGGACGAAACTGCCGCCTAAGCATGGCCGGTCGTACTCTTTATACATGTCCTCTACAAATAGATCTTTTTGCTGAGGATCCAGTTTCGGTTGGAGCCAAAAGCATAATTTTGATTAACGATTTAAAATTTTAGTACAAAGTGAATTTGCATCAAAAGTAGCGACAAATATTGCGAAACTAGAGTGCACTCATACTGTAGGTAGTGGATGAACATCTACCGGTATCGTTGAAATCAACGACATTCATTCGTGACAAAGAATCGGTTTGAGTCCTGAGATCAGATATGACGTGGTGGAAGAAAATTCACAGAGATGCAACGAGCTAGCTACTACGGTAGGCACCATCAGTGTTCAATAACAACCAATCGGTAGAACCATGGGGTTGCATTCAACTCTTCTCAGCCTGCTTGTTGCAAGTAGTGCTGGATTCACAACTAGAGGAGTCGTAAAGGATCACCGACAGCTGAACCTGAAGCAATTGACAACTTCGGCAATATCAATACCATTCCATGATTCGAATCGCAAAGTCAACTCAGCCCTGAGATTGACCTTGACGTCTTCCACTCCCTCCTCTTTAATTGCAAATACATCGGTGGCTACCCAGCCAGAAAATGATGGAAATCCCAAGGCAGAGTACGATAGCATTATCTGCGGTGGAGGCCCAGCCGGTTTGCTCTCTGCCATAATGTTGGCTCGGACCTTTGGAAAGGAACACAAGATTGCCGTGTGCGAACGAAGGGCAGATATTCCACCATCACCAACTGATGACACTGCTTGGAACGATGTCGCCCGATTTTACTTGCTGGGGATTGGATTTCGTGGACAGAATGCTCTAAAAGAATATGGCATTTTTGACGACTTCGAACAAGTCAGTGTTCCAGTGAATGGCCGACGGGATTGGCAACCAGGAATGACCAAGGTGGAAGATGGCAATATTACTCCCGCCAAAAAAGATGTGATTAGTCGAGTTCTGCCCCGTGACAAACTAGTGGGAGTCCTTCATCACCATTTGGTCAAGAACTATGCCGATTACAATATTGATTTGCTGTATGGGTTTGAAGTGGACCCAATTTCGTTTGAAAATGAAGATGATGATGTCAAAGTAACCATTTCGCCATGTGATTCCAATGACGGCCCTTCCATTCAGTCCAAAACAGCATTCCTATTAGGAGCCGACGGGAGTGCCCGAACAATCGCCAATTCCATGGAAGAAGCTGATGCCAAGCGCATTGCCAGTATTAGTCCCCTTTTCCGACCATTTGCTCCCAAGCCTTTCAAGGTCACTCGATACAACGACGATAACCCTCGGATCTACAAATCAGTTCCAATTACACTTCCCAAAGATTGGCCTTGTGATTTGAACTACTCTGCTCGTTCAATTGGAAGCCGCGTTACATTGGAGGCATTACCATCTAACGACAAAGGTGACTATTGCGCTTTGCTGCTGATGAAGCCTGGAGATGAGTTAGCCCAAGAAAAATGTGATCCAAAGAAGCTCCGGGCCTTTTTTGACGAAGAGTTTCCCCAATTCGGAGCTCTGATTGACGATAATGTGATGGAGCAAGTAGCAACCAAGCCTTCCTCTACCTTGCCTGCCTTTCGGTATGTCGGTCCTCGGTTGAACATGGGACGCAGAACAGTCGTCTTGGGAGACGCGGCTCATACTGTAAAACCATACTTTGGACTGGGGGCGAACAGTGCCATGGAAGATGTACAGATGTTGGGAGAGGCCTTTAAGGAATCGGCATCGACAAGTAGCGATGATATCGTGCCTTCAGCAGTGGAGCAATTCTCCAAAACACGGTCCGGTGATGCATCCGCTTTGGTGATGATGTCCCGCAACATGGACCGACCAGGCAAACTATTCTTTGTCACTTTCTTGATTCCAATCATTTTGGATGGGATCTTCAACAAGATCGCACCCAAGCTATTTGGTCCAAGCATGTTTGGCATGTTTCAACGCCAAGATATCAACTTTAAGCAAATCCAACGAAAAAAGAGACTGGATCGGGTGATGCAACTCGTCATTATTGGAAGTGGGCTGACGGCGTCTGGAATGGGGTTGAACCAGGCCGTTTCATTGATTGCTCGCCGCTTGGGAAAGAGCCGACCTCTTGTTGGAACTGGCATGGCAGCTATGGCCTTTTTGGCAAGTAAGTTGCAAAAGCTAGCAAAGTCTAAAAAACAAGCAGAAGCTACGGCCTAGATTTGAAAGAAGTATCATGATATCACTTCCTGTGAATAATTCCAAACTACTATTACCAGTTCAAAATTCGCGATAGGAAATCCTGCTGCCATTCATGCAGAAATGGTCAATGATATCAAATCATTTGGAATTGGGTGTATCAGTGGCAATGACAACTATAATTGTCTTTGATGTAAGTCCCCGAGGGACTGGTTGTTCCGCTGTAGTTTCCCATTTTCAATAATACTCCATCTCCCGCTTCCATTAGTTCTCCATTTGTTGCTACATGTCGTGATCCAACCCTTACAGCTTCTCCGACCAAAGATTTGAATGCTTGCGTTCGCCGACTGAAGGTATCTGTTTGATCTGCTTCAGAGATACATCCATAATAGTCGAACAAATTCACGTTTCATCATCCGAGTCCAACTGTCTTCCCTTCCTTTGCTTCTTCGGCTTCAAGGTGCGCTCCCACTTTTTGGCAATATACGGCGTCGGCCGATTTGGAAAGTGGGTGCTGGCCATTTGTATTGGGTTGGCTTGATTCTTGTAGACCTTCATGGCAATGACTAGCTTACGTTCTTCGTCCTTGTGCCAAAACTGTTTCAAAGTCTCCGTGGATTTGTTGTAATTGGGATTGAGTTGTGTCAGATTGGCTCGTATACGTAATTGCCTATGACTAAACTTGCCACCGCCCACCAGCGCGGAACAATGTGCAATCGAAGGAAGATCCCAAACAAATTGAGGGCCATGGAGTGCGACATAGTTCAAGATTGTGGCATCCACAACTTCATCTTGCGACGGTTTTTCTTTACCAGATGCCTTGCCTTCTTTTATCTTCTGATGAAAGTGTTTCAAACATTCGAAAGCCGTACGATCTTCTAGCTTGGCAGCTATCTCCGACCAGTCTGTCTCTTCACCCTTCGTTCCTTCCCTCATGATAAGATTTGATTCCGTTTTGGAGAACATTTGCTCGGTTTTCTTTTGTGGTTTTGCCTTCGTTACATCTTGTCCGGTGTCGAGTGCTTCAAAACGACGTCTCTTCAGGGTATCTTGATTTTCTGTAGGCGTGGAACCCGTTGGGTCTGTCCAGTATTCAAATTTCCACGTTCTGTTTTCATCGTAACGAAAGGCCCGTCTCCGCCTCACACTAAAGGGATCTTCGTCTGGAAAGAGGGCCTTTATTTGAGATTCATTGGGAGCCTTCCTTTTAAATGTCATTTCTGGATGTTGGCGGAGATCTACAGAGGCCAGCTCTTTGACACATTGGGCTGCCTTTTTTCGATTTTCCTCTTTTTGCTTTAGAATCTTTTGCAGCTGTGTTGTCAGTTGTTTTTGTAACTCTCTGTTCGCAGTCAATGCGTTCTTCAAGCTCAAAGTAGTGACCTGAAGATCGACATCTCGGCCCCTGTTAGCCATGGTTATTTCAGGTTAGATGGCGACACTATATGTTTGATGACGCATCGATGATACTAATATAGAGGTATTATTTTCATTTCATGGATGCGATTCCGACGACTGACTGACTGACTCACTCACTCCTTCAATCGCATTCAGAGCGACGGACTGACGTCTTCATCAGTGCAACTTTGAACTTCCATTTTCAATGCACTGAATGGACAGCAACCCCACTGCATCGAGTTGAATTGACAACTATTCTTATCCGTTTTGCCGGAATCTTTTGCAGGAATTTGTGGACATAGGTTAAACTTGGAGGATGTGCTCGAAATAGTCTAATGAACCACAATTTTGGTTATCCTAGGACTATAGTACTACTACCTACTCGATGGTGGATTTCTCGTTCCAGGATAAATGTTGCAACATCCACCTCTCATCATCCACTAAAGCCCAGCTTCTACAAAAATCACAAAAATGAAAATATTCAAGCTTTTCTTTTTTACTTGTTGCCCTCATCGCCATCATCGCCTCTGTCACTGCTGAGGACAAGCCGCCCAAGGAGGCTCTGCTTCGAAAATTGCAAACTGCTGCCCCAGTTGTTGTCCCAGTCGTTGTGGTCAAAGCACCTACTGCAGTACGCGTAGCTACTGTCAGTAAGGGAAGCAAGAGCAGCAAGAGGCAACTTGTCTACTTCAACAATCTACGAGTCCTAAGCAGTCGATGAAGAATGGATCTTTCGTATCAAAAAGATAGTATACTAAAGAGGAAAGTTAAGGAATATGTCGCAATTACACGGTTCAGAAAGAAGAAAAAATTTGGCAACAAGTGTTTTGGTTACTCCATTTCATCCAACTTTGACATTGAATGAAAGCTCCAGCGATACCCAAAGGTAGAAGGTGATATAAGCATAGTTACTTGACTTGTACATCCTGCTATACGTGAAAATTTATCTTCGTGATACTCTCTTGGCGAACATCCCATGTCCTATGAATTTGAAAAAAAGAAATCATGTGATGAGACTCACTTTTTTATCGTGGCGAAATGATACACTCTGCAAGCGCGTCGTGGGATGTATTTAACCAAATTTCATAATATAGGAGACCACGTATCACGCGAAACCTGACGATTTTGTTCAAGATACAAGAATCATCGCGGAAACAATTAATCGTGCGTTTCTCGTTCCAGGATAGTGTTGCAGCATTCATATCTCACAATTTACTAAAGCCCAGCCTCTACGAGATCACAAACACAAATATGTTCAAGCTTTCCTTCCTTCTTGTTGCCCTCATCGCCGTCATCGCCTCTGTCACTGCTGACAAGCCCAAGGCCCTTCGAAGATTACAAACTGCTGCCCCAGTTGCGGTTCCTGTCGCCGTCGTCACCGCGCCAATTGCGGTACCCGTTGCTGCTGCCAGTAAGAGCAGCAAGAGCAGCAAGAGACAACTTGTCCACTACAACACTCCATACGAGTCGTAAATGTTTGGGGGAAGAAAACCCAGCTATAAATTGCAACGAGGTTTTCGAGATGATCACTTGATTCCAACGAAAATTCCCACTTGTCTAGCTCGCCCTTCATTTACATCACTGTGAAAAAGGATCGAGTTCAGATGACTTGAACAAAATTCAAATATCTGTCAAATCACAAATAACATGTACTAAAGATGAATAACTATGTCAAATTCTTTCGACTTAGACAAATCACACCGCTTAGCACTTGAAGCATCTGAGATGATATATTGTCCTAGTTGACCACATGTGAAAGTATTGTAGTTCTACCACCCATCATTGCATGATGGTTGCTCATCTTCTTTGTAGCAGTAACATCGATGGCAAATGGTAATCCGTGTTGACTATGGTATGCGCACTTGCAGTGCATATCCTACAAACTTACTGTAGGAATCAATCATCTTCGTCATACTTTCCTGGAACATGTGACACTCAGTTTTATCGTGGCGAATTGATATAAAATACACTCTGCAAGCGCGTCGTGGGATGTGTATTTAACCAAATTTCATATAGGAGACCACATATCACGCGAAACCTGACGATTTTGTTCAAGATACAAGAATCATCGCGGAAACAATTAATCGTGCGTTTCTCGTTCCAGGATAGTGTTGCAGCATTCATATCTCACAATTTACTAAAGCCCAGCCTCTACGAGATCACAAACACAAATATGTTCAAGCTTTCTTTCCTACTTGTTGCCCTCATCTCCGTCATCGCCTCTGTCACTGCTGACAAGCCCAAGGCTCTTCGAAGATTACAAACTGCTGCCCCAGTTGCTGTTCCAGTCGCCGTCGTCACCGCGCCTATTGCAGTACCCGTTGCTGCTGCCAGTAAGAGCAGCAAGAGCAGCAAGAGCAGCAAGCGACAACTTGTCCACTACAACACTCCATACGAGTCGTAAATGTTTGGGAAGAAAACTCAGCTATAAATTGCAACGAGGTTTTCGAGATGATCACTTGATTCCAACGAAAATTGCCACTTGTCTAGCTCGCCCTTCATTTACATCACTGTGAAAAAGGATCGAGTTCAGATGACTTGAACAAAATTCAAATATCTGTCAAATCACAAATAACATGTACTAAAGATGAATAACTATGTCAAATTCTTTCGACTTAGACAAATCACACCGCTTAGCACTTGAAGCATCTGAGATGATATATTGTCCTAGTTGACCACATGTGAAAGTATTGTAGTTCTACAACCCATCATTGCATGATGGTTGCTCATCTTCTTTGTAGCAATAACATCGATGGCAAATGGTAATCCGTGTTGACTATGGTACGCGCACTTGCAGTGAATATCCTACAAACTTACTGTAGGAATCAATCATCTTCGTCATACTTTCCTGGAACATGTGACACTCAGTTTTATCGTGGCGAATTGATACAATTTGCATGCGCGTCGGCGGGGAATATACTTAACCAAAATTCAAACAGGAGACCACCAATCACATGAAGTTGACGATTTTGTTCAAGATACAAGAATCATCGCGGAAACAATTAATCGTGCGTTTCTCGTTCCGGGATAGTGTTGCAACATACCCCTCTCACAATTTACCAAGAGCCCACCTTCTACGAGATCACAAACACAAATGTGTTCAAGCTTTCTTTCCTACTTGTTGCCCTCATCGCCGTCATCGCCTCTGTCACTGCTGACAAGCCCAAGGCCCTTCGAAGATTACAAACTGCTGCCCCAGTTGCGGTTCCAGTCGCCGTCGTCACCGCGCCAATTGCGGTACCCGTTGCTGCTGCCAGTAAGAGCAGCAAGAGCAGCAAGAGACAACTTGTCCACTACAACACTCCATATGAGTCGTAAATGTTTGGGGGAAGAAAACCCAGCTATAAATTGCAACGAGGTTTTCGAGATGATCACTTGATTCCAACGAAAATTGCCACTTGTCTAGCTCGCCCTTCATTTACATCACTGTGAAAAAGGATCGAGTTCAGATGACATGAACAAATTCAAACATCTGTCAAATCACAAATAACATGTACTAAAGATGAATAACTATGTCAAATTCTTTCGACTTAGACAAATCACACCGCTTAGCATTTGAAGCATCTGAGATGATATATTTTCCTCCTAGTTGACCACATGTGAAAGTATTGTAATTCTACCACCCATCATTGCATGATGGTTGCTCATCTTCTTTGTAGCAGTAACATCGATGGCAAATGGTAATCCGTGTTGACTATGGTATGCGCACTTGCAGTGCATATCCTACAAACTTACTGTAGGAATCAATCATCTTCGTCATACTTTCCTGGAACATGTGACACTCAGTTTTATCGTGGCGAATTGATATAAAATACACTCTGCAAGCGCGTCGTGGGATGTGTATTTAACCAAATTTCATATAGGAGACCACATATCACGCGAAACCTGACGATTTTGTTCAAGATACAAGAATCATCGCGGAAACAATTAATCGTGCGTTTCTCGTTCCAGGATAGTGTTGCAGCATTCATATCTCACAATTTACTAAAGCCCAGCCTCTACGAGATCACAAACACAAATATGTTCAAGCTTTCCTTCCTTCTTGTTGCCCTCATCGCCGTCATCGCCTCTGTCACTGCTGACAAGCCCAAGGCCCTTCGAAGATTACAAACTGCTGCCCCAGTTGCGGTTCCTGTCGCCGTCGTCACCGCGCCAATTGCGGTACCCGTTGCTGCTGCCAGTAAGAGCAGCAAGAGCAGCAAGAGACAACTTGTCCACTACAACACTCCATACGAGTCGTAAATGTTTGGGGGAAGAAAACCCAGCTATAAATTGCAACGAGGTTTTCGAGATGATCACTTGATTCCAACGAAAATTCCCACTTGTCTAGCTCGCCCTTCATTTACATCACTGTGAAAAAGGATCGAGTTCAGATGACTTGAACAAAATTCAAATATCTGTCAAATCACAAATAACATGTACTAAAGATGAATAACTATGTCAAATTCTTTCGACTTAGACAAATCACACCGCTTAGCACTTGAAGCATCTGAGATGATATATTGTCCTAGTTGACCACATGTGAAAGTATTGTAGTTCTACCACCCATCATTGCATGATGGTTGCTCATCTTCTTTGTAGCAGTAACATCGATGGCAAATGGTAATCCGTGTTGACTATGGTATGCGCACTTGCAGTGCATATCCTACAAACTTACTGTAGGAATCAATCATCTTCGTCATACTTTCCTGGAACATGTGACACTCAGTTTTATCGTGGCGAATTGATATAAAATACACTCTGCAAGCGCGTCGTGGGATGTGTATTTAACCAAATTTCATATAGGAGACCACATATCACGCGAAACCTGACGATTTTGTTCAAGATACAAGAATCATCGCGGAAACAATTAATCGTGCGTTTCTCGTTCCAGGATAGTGTTGCAGCATTCATATCTCACAATTTACTAAAGCCCAGCCTCTACGAGATCACAAACACAAATATGTTCAAGCTTTCCTTCCTTCTTGTTGCCCTCATCTCCGTCATCGCCTCTGTCACTGCTGACAAGCCCAAGGCTCTTCGAAGATTACAAACTGCTGCCCCAGTTGCTGTTCCAGTCGCCGTCGTCACCGCGCCTATTGCAGTACCCGTTGCTGCTGCCAGTAAGAGCAGCAAGAGCAGCAAGAGCAGCAAGAGACAACTTGTCCACTACAACACTCCTTACGAGTCCTAGACAAACAAGATGATGCCGTGATTTGCTATAAATGCGCTCCACGGCATATAGTTGAAGCACCGCGAGAAGAAACCAGTGTGTTGGAATACATGTTGCAGAATTAAAAAAGTATTTAAAGATGAATTGATTATGTCGATCAGATTGTTGTTGTTGTTGTTGTTGCTGCTGTCTGTGAAAGTAGAAGAAACTTAAAACTCGTGTCTAGAACCCAAGTTTTTCGATAGATGACGATGTAGCTCTCTCAGGAATTTTGCTTGACCAGGATGACGCTTCTTTTCATCTTTCCCAAGGCCCCAGTGTGCCTTTCCCTCTTGGTGTTTCTTGCAGTGATATCGGTTGTTTCTGGCACAATTAGATAATTGTTGATTGTTTGGAAAAGCAATGCTTGTGCTTCTTTTTTTATTTTTAAAAAAGGCTTTCATTTCTTGGATTCGGGTATTCCAAATTGCATTATAGGCATCACACTCTAACCCAAGCTTCTCGAGTGCAATAATGCAATCTTGGGCCATATAGAACTTCATATCCGTCTGACTTGTTGTCTGTCGATCCATGTCGCCACGGTCTTTTTTTTCTCTGAATAATTTCGTAGCACATTGCAATGCTTGTGCTTCGTCTTAAAGACATTCACTTGTTGGTATCGAGTCTTCCACATTGCCGCCTTGGTGTCCCACACAAACCCAAGATTCCCGTGTCCTCTACAGGTCTTTTCAGCCTTCTGCCATGCCATTGGTATTCCGAACGTTGAGTACCGACCCATGCCCCAAGGACCTTGTTTTCTGAAGAATGTCTTGGCACATTTCATTGGTCATGTTCCTTTTGAACTGGATCCGTTCTTTTGATTGGTTTCTCGCATTTCGATTTACGACCCATGCTCGACTGGCTGATGCGGCGGAATGGACAGAGGTCTGTTTTTGATTTTCACCATCGATCATCGTTCGTGGCTGACTGCTTGAACTGCGACTTGCTTGACTAGAATGCTGCTCTCCAATAGAGCTGTGTTGTAATCAAGATGGTAATGGCGGAATGAGCTGAACACGACGGATGCTTTTTGTCAGCGCTATAGTAATAGTAGGTCTATATATTCAAATATGCGTGGTGATATCATCGTCTTCCCGGCCATTTTATAGGTAAATCGCCTACAGTATATTGTAGTTTGAGCTTTTCCTCTCTCGATCTCACCTTTCTGATGATTGGTGGATTAAACTATGTCTGTCCTTCTCCCGCCCACATGGCGTCTCGGGAGATGACGAACCAACAAAAATCATCATTGCGGTGCACTTTGCACGATGAACACCACCCGAAATGGAACCGAATCATCAGAGGGGGAGTGATAATAAAGTGAAGGAGAAACATGAATATGTGAAGGGAATTCTATCGGAGAAAAGTAATGGTTTCATTCAGTGTTTTGAATCCGAAAATGAGGGCTTGTATGTGACTGCCACAAACTGCAGGAATCTTCGGTCCTCATCAGCAGAACCAACAAGAGTCATGACTTGCCAAGCAGCGGCGATTGCACTCGACCCACCCTTTCGACAAACGCACTGTTCCTTTTGCGCTTCTTCTGGAACCACATTGTACGCATTGGAAGGCTGCAGCATGGTATCGGCATGCACCTCTTGTGGTCCTCTCTTGATGAAGGATGGATACCATCGCTCGAACGAGTTTGCCATATTGGAGAAAATGGAGGCTACCTTTGGTCCTTCCATTGACTCTATCTTTGTCTTGACCGTCAGACTACTTTGTTGTCAAAGCAGCAAGGACTGGTGGAAACTGTTTTGTCGTCTTTACGAACACCCAACGGACGACTCAATGGAAGACAACATTGATCTCATTTGCTCCCATCTGCCAGCACCTGCAAATGATAAGGGTCTCTTTCGGGAGACTCTGGGAAGAGTTCTTGGTTGCAGTCACAACATTACTGATTTCTCAAGGCCGCTGGGGAATCAATCGTTGGGTCGGGCCATTTTCCTGGAACACAGCTTTTACAATCACTCTTGCGTTCCAAATGCTTATCTTTCCTGTAACATTCGCCACCTACCGGACGGCAGTGCCATCTCTACCTTGACCGCCGATGTTCATCTGTTAGAAACGGTTCAAGAAGGAGATGAAATTACCATAAGTTACATACCCATGTCGGGCTTGTCGACTCGAGAGAGAAGAAAGACACTGCAGGAAGGATATGGGTTTGATTGCAACTGCCGCGCTTGTACGTCATTGGAACCTGCCATTTCGATAACAGAATCCATGGATGTCCAATCGCTGCGAGAGATTCAATATAACTGTAACGAGCGCTTGTTGACTCGAAAGAATAAGGAACAACAGCCGTCACAATCTCATACCACAAGAATGCAGAGATCAAATCAAGAGGGAGACGACAGAGCCAGTAGTGAGAAGGATGGCCAGGCTGATGATGAAGTCGACCAAGTGATTGCTCTTGTTCAAATGACTCAACGGGGCATTCGAAATCAAGGAATTCCCGAAACGCACGAAGTCAGCGTGGAATCGCATCGACTCTTAGCTTTGGCATATTCCATTTTGGAAGACTGGGTCCCGGCCAAAGAGCACCACGAGAACTTTCTAAAATTGGCAAACAAGGTCAATGACTTATTCGACCCTGTTGCATTGGGACTTCAGTTGCTTGAATACGCGAATGCATTGAAACAGGTGGGGGATCGGGAAATCACTCGTTCGGCTCGGAAACGTCAAGAGGGCTTGAGTATGCTTCAGCGTGCCCTCGGCAAGAATCATGATTGGTTAGCTATGCTTTCATCAGAAGAGTCATCGCCACCACGCGATACCACCCCGAAGCGAAAATCTGACGATACCACGAGCGAGAGTGATGAACTCCCTGACAAACGGAGCAAGGTGAAAGGAGACTCATGAGATTGTCGTTCTTGAACACGCTTTTGAAAGATACTAAAGCGTCAAGTCAAGATTTCGTCAAACGTGTATTTTGAAAAAAAGCGAGATAATAGTTGTTCTGTTATTGTTAACATTTTCTTGTTCGTGTGTCTATTTCTTCATCTCGCTTTGATCCCGTTTCAGTCATCCCGTCGACATTCGTAGATTCATCTTTATGGATTCTGGAGAAGTGTTCAAGTCAGTAACTGAGATGCCTTTGTTGCACCTGCGAGTGTGATTGAACGACTTCTGGTTCCAAGGTAAAAAATGTAAAGAATCGTCTTTCTCCTATTGCGAAAGCAACAATCCAATGTAGTCAGGATTGCTTGTGTCCAAGATAGACTCATGCTTCTTTGATTGTAGATATCTCTGTGCTCGTTCAAGGATGGCTTTCTTGTTGGCCTTACTTTTGCTAATGAGTTTGTCGTCCATGGAAATGGCTTCATTTGGAAGGTCCATACTCTTAGAAGATTCATCAAGTTGCTGATCGCATACCGGCTCTTCAATGGACTTCATGCTCGTGATCGCAGCCACATTTGTGTTCATTTGGTGTTCAAAGAAGAATCCTTGTGCAAGTGTACCGAATCTCAAGTGGACGATATTCAACAGATCGGCTTGACAGAAAAATCCCAAAGCGCCAACAAGCAACAAAGTAAGCATGTATTTCATCGTTTGCCTTGTACCAACAAGTTCATCTTGTACCTCCGAGCGACGTTCTTGCAGGACTAGTTCCGATTCTGTGGTGACAGTCAAAGCATCCTTGGACTCGTTTACCGGCGATTGGCGGAGATCGTCAAACAAGGTATCACCATTGACCACAACTTGACGAGGAATGCTCGAGCGCCGGTGACCAGGAGTATGAGTATGCATTGTGGACCACTCCGAGATGGTGGTACGACTGGTGACTGAGCTTGCATCACGTGTTGTCGATACATATTGCTGACCAAAGCTTGACTGCTGTTGGAGAGACAGACGCCGTCTTGATTCGGCCAACTTGCTTGCACTATGCAATCGAAGGAGCTTTTGCTTGGCACGGATTTGACTAATGTTGGAGGCGACGGATTGGGCATCGTCGTCATCATCAGTACGTTTATTCCTTGCCTTCTTATTCTTCTGCTTTCGAGCCGCTTTGGATATGACACTTGCACTCTTGCGACTTTTACACATTTCCTCGTTGCTGATCATCTCGGAGTCGTTGAAAGAACTGCTTGGTGATACAGTCTCCTCTTCGGACGATGTCGGTGTAATGGTTGCAACAACATCATCTCCATGTTTCAGTTCTTTTTCTTCCAGCATCATACCGGCCGCTAGCGTTGACTCTTTCCATTGATAAATCTTGTTCTCGCTGCTAAGTGTGGCAAAACTGTAGTCTGGAGAGATGGATTCAAGTTGGGTCAAGAGGGACTGTGACCAAAACGGATCATGAGACATGTCAGGTTTTCTTGATTTTGTTATTTGGGTCAGTGAAGTCTGGGACATGGCATCCATTATTGCTGAGCCTTCTTATCTATATGTAGTTGGGAAGCGTGACAGCAGCATTGTGTGAGCATTTGTTAACGTCGTCCATCAAGGACTCCTGCTCCAGGATACCTTTCTTCGCTGATGGTGACGACGACATCATCATTGGCTTTGCTTTGATTGACTTACACTACTTTTGTATACTGAGTGACTTGAATCAAAGATTCACTTCTGAATCAGTGATTTTAAGGCTAGACGTTGTGATGGGTGTATGGCGGGTGGACCTTTATCCTTGGTGGATCCACTTTTTCAATTGCAATCCTAACCGTTGGATTGTGTGAAGTAACGTGATGAAAAGAAACAACTTGTGATTTTCTGGATTCAGATTTTTGAATTTTTGGAGCATGGCAGGCGCTGAATACCGGTTCTCATACTTCTGTCTGTCCATTGTCCTGACAGGAACAGCGGGGAAATTTGAGTCACTTGTGGCAAGCGGTTGGAGATTCTCCGTTATTCGGAAGAAAACAGACCGGCTGCCACGAAATTTGCTCCGGAAAAATCGATCCGAACCCAAATAAAAGGCCTGACTTCATTAAAGAAGCTTCGACCAAACAAGATGTCGTGACAACCCTCTTCTCACAATATCTTTCCGCACAAGAAAAAAAAGACACAAACACACAAACCAACAAACCAACAACAACAAAAAATATGACATCCAACATGATCAAGCCACAAGTCCAATGTATCTTCCATGATGCTACTTCGACCTGTACCTACATCGTCAAGGATCCTACATCCAAGCATGCCTGCATCATCGATCCCGTCATGGACTTTGATCCTGCTGCCGTTCGCACCTCCCAAAAACACAACGAAGCGGTCGCTTCTTATTGTGAAATGGAAGACCTTCAAGTCGATTACATTATTGAAACTCATGTGCATGCGGATCACATGACAGGAGCTGAATTTCTTAAGAAGAAGTTTCCTCAAGCCAAGACTGCGATTGGTGAGAATGTCACGAAGGTCCAAGAGTTATTCAAGGGCATCTTCAACTTGCATACCAAGGGCGACAACTTCGAACCTGATGGAACTCAATTCGAGTTGCTTTTGCAGGATGAACAAGAGCTCGACTTGGGCAGCCTCAAAATCAAGATCTTGTACACACCTGGTCACACTCCAGCTTGTGTTTCCTTGGTGATTGGTGATGCTGTTTTCACTGGAGACACACTTTTCATGCCTGATATGGGAACCGCCCGTTGTGATTTCCCGGCTGGATCTGTCGAAAACCTTTACAACAGTATTCAAAAATTGTATGAACTTCCCGACGACACCCGAGTATTCGTCGGTCACGACTATGCTCCAGGCGGTCGTGAGTTTGCTTGGGAAACAACCATTGGTCAATCTAAGGAATTCAACAAACAGATCAAGGCCAACACTCCATTGGAAGAATTTTCGGAATTTCGCAAGGCCCGTGATGCCAGTCTTAATCCACCTCGCTTGATTCTTCCATCTCTCCAAATTAACTTGAGAAATGGAGCTTTGCCACCAAAAGAGTCCAATGGGATTTCTTACTTGAAACTACCTCTGAATGTCTTGGGCAAAGATGATCATGCCTAATGCCAAAAACACTACAATGTACTGTATAATACATAATAATTCCATGGCCGTAATTTATAGCTACTTGTCAAGCCAACAGATTTAAAAAAATATATATAGCGTGCTGTCTGTCTCTGTGCATAGTCGTCGTTGTTAGTCATATAAAAGGGATTGTTTTGCACTGAGATGTAGACAAGTGTGTGTGATTATTTCTTGGAACCTTCTTTCCGTCCCAGCATAGGTGGAGGGGTGGTTGGTGAATGGGAATTGTGGGAAGGCTGCAGAAGAACCAATCAAGCAATGAGAAAGAATAGTATGTATAGTTTGCAGCTCGGTGCACCTTCTGCGCCACATATCGTCGTCGATCAAGGTCGTTCCTTACTTCAACCATACTCCCACAACAGTATGGTGATTGTTGTAAAACGTCCTTTTGACAACAGGCCCATCAGTAGCGTGTTGTACCAGTAAATCTCCTAGGACGGGCGTGACGAGTTCGTTCAGACGACTTCCGACCTTATCAAGAGCAAATCGATTATCGTATGCAACAGCGAGAAGGAATACAATCATCGCTGTGGCGATGAATGGTCGTACCATCATCTTCCACCCTCGGAGCATACTACTACGTGTATTCATTCTTATGGCAGTTCCATCCATCTCAAAGGACAAAGACGGTGTATACCACGAAGGCTCCTCCTTGATAGTTTGGAGCTGTTCGAATGATTGAGTCATCTCAATTCCTTCAAATGAAGGTGTGAACCTTACTTGTAGCAGATCGTCGTCGATTTTCTCACTATTGCGGATGGGGCTCTGAACACTCGGTTCTTTGGAACGGAAGATGTCTTGAGAGCGAGACTTCTCAACTGTTTTGGGTAGTAGAGCAGCAGCACTCTCGTTCGCTGATTCCACAGTACTTTCGCTAGCGAACGAAAAGTCGCAGAAGTCGCCAGAGAAAACGGCATTTGTACTCGAAGGTGGCGTTGGCAAATCCTCCCCTTTGACAGGATCCGAGCACTCAATCTCCAATCCCTTTTCTTCTTGATCGACGTTGAATTCTGGAACGTTTGCCTCTAGCTCAGGAAGCTTCTCAATAGTTTCTTGTAGGACAAGAGAAAGCTCTTGCTCGAAACTTGGGGAAGATTCCACGCCAGAGTAGACGACTTCCTTCGCGGCAGCTGATTCCTCATGAATTTCCGTCGCTTCTTCGATGCTTGAATCGGACCTTGTTGTCCATATGCTCTCAAAGGAATCAGCTTCGGCCAACCCAGGAAGTGAATTCGAAGATATGGCCTGTGATAGCTTAGACGCGCTCACACCAATGGATCCCTTTCCATCATCATTATCCCCAACCAAGCTTTTTAGATTCTTCAAGGAGGATTGAGACAATTTCTTTTCGGAAGAGAAGACTCTGCGCAGCAGAGTCTTTTTCCCCTTTCGACTGCTACTTGTTTTTGGATGATGCCGTTTTAGGATATGCATTGTCAGCATTCAAAGCAAGAACACTTGGTGGTGATCGATGGGTGTGTTTTCTATTTGGTCTCATTGAATTGAGTGAATTTTTCGAAAAATCGCCAAAGGGTCGGCCTGCTTGCGGTGGTTCTCATTGGCCTAGATTTTTATACGGCAATTTGTGAGAAGAAAAATTTAGGAAACGGCTGCCATAAAAAAAGGTACGTGTACGTGTTCCAGGTACGTGTACCAGGTACTGACATAATTCCAAAATACAAAAAATCACAATGGCAGCGATGGGTTGATGTTCAAAGATGATAAGGAAAAATTACAATGGAGATACGAGCATCACTATATCAAAAGGAATAATCACCCCAAAATGAATCACGGCATTGACTGATCCTGACATTGACAAGCCATCTGAATTCTGTGTTCATCTGGATATATAGGCAGAATTTGGGCATTGTGGAATCGGTGATACGCAAGTCTGCGGGATTTTGCGGAACGAGAAGTTGTACTGTATCGGGAAGTTTCGAACTAATTGTCTTATCACAGATCTCAGAGATTTTGTGCAGGATTCTATTCTGAGACTGCTGTACGTGATTCATTCATTGCAATTACGCAAAGAACTGACAGTGGGACATCAAGGAGTACCTTTTTCGTCATATTCTCTGGCGACATGGCCCGCAATATTTTCTCACATGGGATCTTGGAGAATAACCGACTGAAGAAACTACACTTGGATTTGAACATCAACCAATGTTCTCCGGTGGATGTAAGAATTTTGGGCATGAATCTGCAGAAAAAGTCATCTTTGGAAGAAATGCATCTGCAGTTCTCTGGGCTTAACACCACGATGTCATCTCTTCGTCTTTAGCAGCCAACAAATCACCGAGGAAACTAAAATGCTCCTACAAAAAGAAAGCGCTACGGTTGTCATCATTGCTGTCACCGTGTCGTTGCTTGTCGGTCACTCGTCACTGCGCTCCATGCAGAGAGCATCCCATGTGTTTGGTAGTTCATCTTCCTACATGCTTCAACGGCTCCTCGCTAAGTCAACTGTAGAGGCGCTTTTTCTGTTTTCTATTTCCAAGGAGCCGACATCTGGCATGCCTCTGGGACTATGGAAAAGGGTTCTTGGACTATCAGGCACAAATCATGATGTCGTTGATGAAATGCTGAAGGGCCCGTCATTGTTGGGTAGGGAAGACCTTGATGCCTAGCTTGGGGTTAGAGGAATCATCTAAGCTCGTAGACGGAGCTGCGTTATCAGATTTCTTCTCCCATTCGTAGGACTCTCCAACGCTTCGTGGGGTCTCCTATCGTATCATGGGAATGGTTCCAGCTTGTATGAATAATTTGCAAAGATCCGAACGCGGGAAAATGTTTTTGCTCGGAAGCCTAAACCGAGAACAAACACCAGAGTATGTTAGAGGCAAAGTGCCTGTCCTGGCCACACAAGCGAGTTTATACGTGTGATCTAGAAGCATGGAGTCCGTCCGATGGATGCTGCTATCGCTGTATGGATTGTGTCAATTACTCGACCATTACGAGTTCATCCAGCGCATTGGCATCCAGATTCGTCATAATGCTGTGTTAAATTTTGTTAGTGTGATGACTGCTGTATGATGATGCCAGTTGATGATTGTACATGTAGGACACCCCCCAACATTATGACGTTCATTAGCAACGCGTCAGGCCCCAATGCTGCCGGTCCCCGCGCAGACCTTCTTTTCGAGCAAACCGCACCTCTCATCAGAAGGCATATAGTCCTGCGATAGTATCAAAACATTTTCAAGCAGAAGCGAAGCCAAGATCGAACGTTCAGCGACGATTCAAAGGAACCGCTTCATCGGATTCCATACCTCCCAGCGATACCTGCTCGTTGACATCTTAGGTTTCCCTCTTCACCGATAGAAAAGAGAGAAATTGCAGCACCGTAAAGACCAAAATCAAGTCTATTGCCCCTCACTTTCGCAGCCCCATGGCGTCCAAGCAGCCTCCTGGAGCAGAGACTACCGCTGACATTCGGTCCAAAAGAAGTCTCAAAATGCCACCAGATGAAAGAAAAGGCAATGCGACTCCAGAGCAAATCATCACAACTGACAATCAAAACAACCTCAGTTCAAGTCGGAACAATAGCACAAACGCATCAAAACCCACTGTGGTTGAAGTATCAGGTAGTCCTTGTTCAAGTCGGACTAATGCCGTTGACAACAGCACCATGAATGCTTCAAAACCCACCATGGTTCCAGTATCAGGTAGCCCTAGAGATATCATCTGTGGACGTGGTCTGCACATCATGAATCACCATGGAAATCACAATCTTCACCTTATCGTTGACAGGTATCGTCAAGCCTACCTGACTTCGACTCGTAAAGACAAGGCTGACATCACTAGAAGCATCGTTCAACATTTGAAGAGTACAGGAGCAAGGTTTCTTCGACGGTTCAACCACGACGGAGATGACAAGTGGGTGGAAGTTGATGAAAGGACCGCGTACAAGAAGGTCGGCCATGCCTTGCGTCTGAGAAAGAAAGATCATGGACAGAACTTCTTGAAATCTGTCGTTCACAGACAACAGCTGCACAGCCAACACTCTCTGCCGTTGCACTCGGCGTCTCATGGGGAAACAAGTATCTCACACCAAATGGCTGCCATGTCAGGCGGTTCACAGAAGCCAATGAATCCTCCGTCGAGATTGCCCCCTTCGTCCTCCCTTGATATGCATTTACCTTTGGGGCCACCTGCAAATCAACTTCAAGTCATGACGACACAATCAGCATCAGCGCCAGCTCTCGGGCCACAACCTCACCCAATGTTACACTCGTCTGTCATTGGTGGATATGGTAATGTAGTGATTGATCCTCGATTGTTTTCGCAAGTATTTGCAACCACACTTTCCCTTATGACACAACATCAACAACGAGCATCCATACACGGAAGCTCTGCTGATTCACGCAGATCCGACGTAACTCCCAGAGATGAAAGAAAGTAAAGTGGCTGAGTACATCCAATACGTTGCTTCAAGCTTGACTTTGGCTGTCGCATTATATAGGAACTGATTCCGCTTCTGGAGCTCGTACAGTTTTGTCCGGAGCTTCAGATCATCTGATACTAGTGTGTATCAGCACGTGATCATGTCGATGAGAAAGCGCAGATAAAATATTTGCTGCTGCTGCGACAACATCATGAGAGACTAAATTTCCGGAGGCTTTGTAGCAAATCATCCTAATCATCCTGAAAATGATGATGGAATGACATGCTTCAATCTCCGAAATCGTGATCATGTCGATGAGCAAGCGCAGATGAAATATTTGCTGTTACTACGACAACATCCTGAGAGGCTAGATTTCCGGAGGCTTTGTAGCAAATCATCCTAATCATCCTGAAAATGATGATGAAATGACATGCTTCAATCTCTGAAATTGTGATGGAGAAGTTTGCATGCTAGTAAGCGATAGATTCCAGATATTGCCTATCCATCATCTATTTAATAGCTTCATCTTCTGTGCTTCTTGTTTCTGCTGGCGGTAAAATAGACAAGGACTGATGGCATAGGAACCCACAGTATGACTAAGAAAATGCAAAATCGATGTGTGGATTCTGAAAATATGATGGGTGCGAAATAATTCTACAGCAAAACCACTTCCGGATCTCCTACTGTACAATGTACAGGTAGGACTGTACTGTAGTCAATGGTAAAGTGAGAAATTGTGTGTTTGGCCACCTCATCGGACTTTTATGCGGTGCTTAATTAAAATGAGGCACACTGTTTTTGTCAGCTGTCTGATTTTGGGTCAAGTGCGTCACAAATTCACGACCTGCAGATGCCAAAAAAACCTGGTGATGGAATATTGACCCTTCAGACATCGATTGACTCACTTCAGATCAATCTTCAGAAGAGTCCATGATTCTCCAATAGTCGATTTCTGGGCAGGGCGATGATCAAGATTCTAATTTCTTAGAGTGGTATTTTGCCTTTGCGATTAGGATGGTTTGAGATTTCTTGAAGGTCAAGAGAGTTCATCATGATTGCTGCATTGAAACAGATGAAAACTTTAGAAGGGCATCTTTCGGAAGGTTTTGATGATGTTGTTAGTGGTTGGTTGGTTGGTTGGTTGGTTGGTAACAACGACAGCGACGACGCTTTCAGAATAACCTGTCATTCAAATTTTTCCGACATATAGACGAATTGGTTGGTTGGTTGGCAAGAAGGGCAGCGACGATACATTCAGAATAACCTGTCATATTGATCGTCATAGTCTTTCTTCCGTCAGACGAGACTGGCAAAACCGTGGCATCAAGAAACTTCCATAGCAGCATATCGAATGGTCCATCAGCATGGGCAAACTGGGCCGACAGGAGTGGGCGACCGTCACCTTCATATCTGTTGAGGCAACCTATTATCAGTATAGAGCCGATCTACGTTGCATCCCTTCAACCTTTGGAATGTTTTGCGAAGAGCGTTTCGAACAATAGGATCAATGTTGGCGGTGCGTTAAGGTCCACTATACCAAGAGATTCCTTCTTGAATGTGAAAACAATATTTGATGCAAAGTGTTAAAGTGTTCTCAGATAGGTTTTTGCCTCATGTCGGATATCATTTTCTGACCAAGCACTAACCGTGACCCTATCCGGGTGAATAAAACTGGATATCGTCTCAGATTGGTACTCTAGCCTTTCGGTTGCTTGTGGAGTACACCTTGGATATACAACCATCACAGGGATGATTCATACTCTTGAAATTCAATCATCAGTAATAGATTTTGAAAAAGGTTCCTCAAATCGCTCATCAAAGCTGCTTCGAGTGTGCTTCTCGGAATGTTATTGAGACGATTGAATGCGATATCGTCATTCAGCGCGCTCAATCGATTCATTGATTCTATGGCGACTCTGTAAATCTGCGTTATTGTCGGAAACAGTAAAAAGTGTGCCATGCGGCAAGTAAATCACACTTTTACAGTGTATAGCCAACGAAGTCGAGTATGTAATCCACCAGAGCACCAGTGACATTTATCATCGGGACAAGACTTTTTACCGATGGCTACTATTACATCGAAATGCATACAATCTATGGTCATTGTTGAATTGTGTGCTATGCATGTTGGACATGAAGGTTTTCCGTGCCATAATGACTATTGGTGTTAGTTACATGAGAAGGAGCAAAGAATCTGTTATCGTTGTGTTGGTTGAAAGCAGAATCGTCGCCGAAACGAGATTTTGGGCCCGCACGCAGAGCTATATTATTATTGAGTACGCAGCACCGAGTGCGTACACAAGCAAATCGCTCTTTGAACTCTGAAATTTCCAGTAGTATATCAGCAGGCAAAATTCATGATACATCCAAGAGTCTCCTAAAAAAAATTTCAAACTTTAGCTTTGCCAATCTGATTCGCTCATCTCCTAACATACCAAAACGTAGGGTCGCAAACGAATGAAGCCGCATCACAACAACAATGATATTCAAGATGATGTGATGCCGCAGACAAGCACAAATGGCAGGCGTGATGAAGACAGCACTTCGCAATCCGACAAATCTGGACCTGCAGTAACGGAACCAGCAGCACGGCTCTCAGGAAATCCCCAAGACATTATCTGTGGACGTGGTCTTCACATCATGAGTCACCTTGGAAACATCAGGTTGCACAGTATTGTCAATAGACATCGTCAGACCTACCAAGTAGCGTCCCGTCGAGAAAAGGCTGCTCTAGCACAGCGCATAGTCGACGAGATCAAGAGTACCGGATCAAGATTCATCCGTCGTGCAGGGGATGGTAGGGATGATGAATGGATAGAAGTGGACAACGAGACCGCCTACAAAAAGGTTGGACACGCTTTGCGTCTCAGAAAGACACTTCCACAACAAAAAAGTCCCCAAGCAAGGCTGATACAAGAAATCCCACAACACCAAGATTCGAATATTGGCTTATCAAATGGTACAATGTCGACAGCCTTGCAGCAGGTCATTGGCATGACGGCAGCAGTCCCACAGAATGCTATGATGCATCATGCATCTATGCCGCCTGCTTTCTCTGCGCCTGATTCATGGCACCCGCTGCTACGGAATCAGTTGAATCCTATTGGGCAAATGCCCGGATTACAACATCAGCCACAAATGCCACCGCCGCCGGCCGTCAATGAATATGGTCAACAACTTCTAGCGAACACTCTGTTTGCAAATGTGTTTCAATCGACATTGTCTGCTTTGTTGCAGGCAACTTATCAGCGAGGGCCACCACTGCCAGTAGGTCCGATGCGGAATGACCAAGGAGAACAGGATGGTACTGTTGGACTTTTCCAAGAATCCCCAAGTGGCACTGACGGAATGGGATGAATCCGTAAAGCGATTGTACCTGATGACTCCCGCATATCCACTGAAAGCTCGGAAAATGAACTACAGCCTCTTGCCTTGGCCATCTTCAACATGCGGCTGAAACATAGGAATGGGTTTCAGAAAGTTGATGCCCAGAATTTCGTCGATGCAATGGCAGTCGTAAAATTGAACCTCGACCACATTGACGTGTATCTCGACAGATGGTTGTATCTGGGATTTCTCTGGGTGAATTGAGAGGGTTTCAGCTCCGCCCTGGTATGACATAGCATACAGCTGATTTCAAAGTCACTATCAATAAGCTTTGATAGCCCAATCACGCCGTGTTCCATTGTCTTCTTTATTTTCTCTCGCTAGGTACAGACGAAGGGCATAAATGGCAAAGATGCTCGTCCATTTTCAAATTTGCAATACGATTCATGCTCTGTCTCTGGACAATGCTGCAAGTTCAATGATATGCACAGGACGATCAAGACGAGGAGGCAAAGATACCTTTGAGTAAGATACCTTTGAGAAGCCATGTACGCTGCGATATCTCTGGTCAAGGATTTGCTTCCTTGGCTGTTATTACTGATTCTTTATTTGTTTGTTTGGATAGTTAGTGAGGGAGGGGCTGCATGTGCTTCGGTAATTTTGGTATTTGTCGTCCACACGATCGATGATCGTGTGGCTGCGATGACGAAAATTCCAATTCTCCGCACACCGTATACTGTGATATGTAATATCATATATACCGCGGTATAAATTCAATATGTGATGTTGCACGTACACACGTCACTTCAGATGCATTTAAAAATATATACCGGTAACACCAGCAATGACCGGTCCACAGCTGGACATGTAATCCTTTGTTCGACTTACAGTATGGACATGGTACTTGTACCAATGGTGAACACCGCATACATTGTTCATTTGCGATAATGAGAATTTGAGTGGGCAACCGCAACGCGCTGCCTTTGATTTGAACCTGATATGACGCTTGTGCCGTACATTGGTTTAATGATGATCCAAGAAGAAAGACATCGTGAGCACTCCGAGTGCGAGTAATAGTTGAAAATGCGGCTTGTGGTTTCTGAAGTAGCCATGCAAGATAATTATTGCCGCATGATGAATGGTCTGGACGCACGCGTTATTGAATCCTCATTTGGTTGACGAATGAATGAAACTGCCGCACTCGTACCCTTCTTGAAGTTATCTGACGACCAGACTAATCGAGGCAGTGAAGGAATTCCCAGGCTCCATCTTTGAGCAAAGCTGATGCAATATTCGGCGATTGTTCTGAAAGCCTTCAATACGTGATGTGTACAATGCTATGGGCGACGGTTTGCTTCGAGCAAGGTTGCGCCTTTGTGTGAGGGCTGTGGACAAGATAGCATGGTGAAATACCATATTTCTACTGGTCTTTTCGATGGTCGCATATCCTTAAGCGGAAAGACATGCATCGGAACAAGATTCGAATCTTACCTTCAATCGTAAAGCGTTCTGGCTTGCTTACGTTCTCTCAGTTTGGCGCAGGCTCTATTGCCATGATACTGCCGATTCTTTATTCAGCTTTCCATGGGTTGCTCTGCGATTTACTATGGGGTTTTGCTGTACCAATGAATTCCAATGGTAAACATGAGGCTTCTCGATGGCTATTCAATCGTCAAATCCTCTTTTGCATGTCGAAATCAACGAAGTTGAAGGGTTACTAATTGTCTTGAATCCAGTATTCCTCTGCTCCAAGGCTGTCGGTTTTATCTGGGTAACATATGAGCGGAGCTATAGTTCATCCGTAGGGCAAGTGACAAGCGACAAGGTTTAATGTATAATCGTGTCCAAATACCTCAAATATTTGATACGCAATGGGCAATCATCAAGAAGAAACGGACCAGTCGGAGTAGTAGAGCACAAAGTCCCACTCACAGCCGTACACTAGTTTCATATTTGGGTATAGTTTTGTTGTCCATATCCTATTAGAATCGACCGAAGTAGCTGTGTTCTGTATGTAGCGCTGGGTCTTTGACTATTGTTCCTTTCAATGCTGGTTTCCACGGCGATGGTTACTAGCTTGTGCATCACATTCACACCCAGACTTGTCATAATGCTGTGTTATGATAGATGTTAGACGATTGCTGTATAATGCTGCTGGATGCTGATTACTGATTGCACACCATAACATCTTCGAATGTAAAGTTCAACGTCGCGCCGTGATCTATACTGCCGGTCCCCGCGCAGACCTTCTTTACGATGAGCAAAATACCAGCATATATATGACTTCATCTTTGCATTCCCAAAACAAGTGGTAAAGCCAAAACCGAACCTTCAGAGACAATTCATAGGAAGCGCTTCATCGGTCTTCATACGTAGTGACAGCGATACCTGCTAGGCGAAATCTTACGTTTCCCTCTATTCACCGAAAGAAAAGAGTGAAATTTCAGCACCGCAAAGATTCCAGCACCACAAAGGCCAGAAGCAAACCTATTGTCGCCCCTCAGTCTCGCAGCGCAATGGGGCCCCCGAATTTTAATGGCGCAAAGGCGGCAGCTGATATTCAATCCCAGAACAGTTCCATCAATCCAGCTAAAAAAGTAGGAGACAGTGCGACTCCAGCGCAAAATGGCAACGGCAACGACAACCATAGTTTGAGCCAAACAAATGCCGTTGACAACAGCACCATGAATGCTTCAAAACCCACCATGGTTCCAGTATCAGGTAGCCCTAGAGATATCATCTGTGGACGTGGTCTGCACATCATGAATCACCATGGAAATCACAATCTTCACCTTATCGTTGACAGGTATCGTCAAGCCTACCTGACTTCGACTCGTAAAGACAAGGCTGACATCACTAGACGCATCGTTCAACATTTGAAGAGTACAGGAGCAAGGTTTCTTCGACGGTTCAACCACGACGGAGATGACAGGTGGGTGGAAGTTGATGAAAGGACCGCGTACAAGAAGGTCGGCCATGCCTTGCGTCTGAGAAAGAAAGATCATGGACAGAACTTCTTGAAATCTGTCGTTCACAGACAACAGCTGCGCAGCCAACACTCTCTGCCGTTGCACTCGGCGTCTCATGGGGATAAAAGTAGTTCACACCAAATGGCTGCCATGTCAAGTGGTCCACCGAATCCAATGAATCCTCCGTCGAGATTGCCCCCTTCGTCCTCGCTTGATATGCATTTACCTTTGGGGCCACCTGCAAATCAACTTCAAGTCATGACGACACAATCAGCATCAGCGCCAGCTCTCGGGCCACAACCTCACCCAATGTTACACTCGTCTGTCATTGGGGGACATGGTAATGTAGTGATTGATCCTCGATTGTTTTCGCAAGTATTTACAACCACACTTTCCCTAATGACACAGCAGTTGCAACATCAACAACGAGCATCCATACACGGAAGCTCTGCTGATTCACGCAGATCCGACGTAACTCCCAGAGATGAAAGAAAGTAAAGTGGCTGAGTACATCCAATACGTTGCTTCAAGCTTGACTTTGGCTGTCGCATTATACAGAAACTGATTCCGCTTCTGGAGCTCGTACAGTTTTGTCCGGAGCTTCAGATCATCTGATACTAGTGTGTATCAGCACGTGATCATGTCGATGAGCAAGCGCAGATGAAATATTTGCTGCTACTACGACAACATCCTCAGAGGCTAGATTTCCGGAGGCTTTGTAGCAAATCATCCTAATCATCCTGAAAATGATGATGAAATGACATGCTTCAATCTCTGAAATTGTGATGGAGAAGTTTGCATGCTAGTAAGCGATACTGTAGATTCCAGATATTGCCTATCCATCATCTATTTAATAGCTTCATCTTCTATGTTTCTTGTTTCTGCTGGCAGGCAGTCAAATAGACAAGGACTGGTGGCATAGGAACCTACAACTAAGAAAATGCAAAATCGATGTGTGGATTCTGAAATTATGATGGGTTCGAAATACAGCAAACCCCACTTATGGATCTCCTACTTTGTACAGGCAGGACTGTATGTACAGTAGGCGAAGGGGTGAAGGAAATTGTGAGAAGCAAGTGATGTACCATGTGTTTGGCCACCTCATCGGACTTTTATGCAGTTCTTAATTAATGAGCGACATACTGTTTTTGTCAGCTGTCGTGATTTTGGGTCGAGTACGTCACAAATTCAAGTCAAAGTTGCAGATGCAAAAAACACCTGGCGATGTAAGTCGAACCAGTCTTCAGAAATGATTGACAATGATTAGTCTTTAGAAGAGTGAGTCCATGATTCTCCACTATTTGTATTCGATTTCTGGATAGAGTGATGATGCCAGATTTCAAGTATTTTTCCGTGACAACGAGCACGACGGCTTGAGATTTCGTAAACGAGCGACAAAAGAGTTCATCTGATTAAGCGATTATGGCAGCGTCGGTGTCATGATAGCCCTCGATTGTTCAGTCGTGTTCTTGACGAATGGTTGACACATGGTTTCATATTCTTCGCCTCATCATTCCGAAGGCTATCATTTTCGTTGTTTCCATATACCGGTATATGGGAAACGAATGTTGAATGAACACACGACGCCCTTCGAAGCACCAGACAACCGTGAACAAGTCACGTAGTATGGATATTCACACTTCAGTCATGATTACTGCATTGAAATAGATGGAAACTTTAGAAGGGCATCTTTCGGAAGGTTTCGATGATGTAGTTAGTGGTTGGTTGTTTCGTTGGCAAGAACGACAGCGACGAAACTTTCAGAATAACCTGTCATTCAGATTGTTTCCGAGAGACGAATGGATCATCAGTCTTTCTTCCGGCCGACGAGACTGGCAAAACCGTGGCATCAAGAAACTTCCATAGCAGCATATCGAATCGTCCATCAGCATGGGTAAACTGGGCCGACAGAAGTGGGCATACCGTACAGCCGCCTGACTGAAACATTGCGACCGTCACATATCTGTCGAAGCCACCTTTTATCAGCATTGCCGATCTTAGCCATATCTTCAACATCTGGGATTTGATGTGCAGAGCGTGTCTAAACGCGATAGGTTTCCGAGCACTGGGCTCGATGTTATCAGTAAACCTCCAGCACCAACAAGATTCCTTCTTGAGTGTGGGACAAAATTATTTGCAGTAAAGTGTTGAAAGCATATTCACACAAAGTGGTTTGCTTCATGTGGGTTTTCATGTTCTAGCCAAGCACTAACAGCAATCCTATCCAGGTGAATAGAACTGGATATCAATGCATCTCGGATTGGTTTCTAGTCTTTCGGTGGCTTGTGGAGTATTCCTTTTCCACACAAACATCACACTGATTGACCATCGATTGAAAAGGAAAGGTCTCGGCACAGATGTCATCACACTCTCTTCTGAATGTCCCTCAGTTCTTGATCGAAAGAAGAAAAAAAGAAATGTAGTGGTCAGATAGGCTTTGGTCATCGCAACAATTTCCAGCCCATTCGCTGACTCCACAAGTCTGCACTGTCGGACAATAAAGTGTACCTTATTGAAAATGTGCCACACACTATGATTTCCATAGACAACGAAGTCATTTGAAATAAAACTCATGAAACATCAGTGACAGACATCGCGACTGAACCATCCATGGATTCCGCGGTGCATCGACATCCATAGACTATTGCCATTATTCTTCCTAATGTGTGCTATACCTGTTGGACATATTGACATTTAGTGCCACAATGACTAGATGGTGATAGTTACATGAGACGCAGCAAATAGACTGATGTTCTTCTGCTACCAACAAGAGCCGTCTTTCACGTTTATTTTGTATGCCACGCCGCGATCGTAGAGAATTTATTGGGTCCGCACGCAGAACTTTTTTTATGTGCACAGTACCTATTAGTTTACGTACAAGAACAAAGCAAATTGCTCTTTGAGCTGTCAGTCGTCTCTATAGTTGTATTTGAATTGCCTTACCGGCAGGCAACCACCAATGATACATCCAAGAGCCTCCAACACAATCCTTCAAACTGCAACCTTTACAATCTGCTTCACTGGTTTCCTTACATAAGCATAGGGTTGCAACCTGCAAGAATGAAGCCGCATCACAACAACAATGATATTCAAGATGATGTGATGCCGCAGACAAGCACAAATGGCAGGCGTGATGAAGACAGCACTTCGCAATCCGACAAATCTGGACCTGCAGTAACGGAACCAGCAGCACGGCTCTCAGGAAATCCCCAAGACATTATCTGTGGACGTGGTCTTCACATCATGAGTCACCTTGGAAACATCAGGTTGCACAGTATTGTCAATAGACATCGTCAGACCTACCAAGTAGCGTCCCGTCGAGAAAAGGCTGCTCTAGCACAGCGCATAGTCGACGAGATCAAGAGTACCGGATCAAGATTCATCCGTCGTGCAGGGGATGGTAGGGATGATGAATGGATAGAAGTGGACAACGAGACCGCCTACAAAAAGGTTGGACACGCTTTGCGTCTCAGAAAGACATTTCCACAACAAAAAAGCCCCCAAGCACGACCGGTACAAGAAATCCCACAACACCAAGATTCGAATATTGGCTTATCAAATGGTACAATGTCGACAGCCTTGCAGCAGGTCATTGGCATGACGGTAGCAGTCCCACATAATGTTACGGTACATCATCCATTTACGCAGCCTGCTTTCTCTGCACCTGATTCATGGCACCCGCTGCTACGGAATCAGTTGAATCCCATTGGACCAATGCTGGGATTGCAACATCAGCCACAAATGCCATCTCCACCTGCCGTCAATGAATATGGTCAACAACTT